CTTCTCTTCGTGCCGAAGTATGGCTCTCCCAAGTGTGGGAGAGCCATACTTCGGCACGATTGGGTCGGCTCGACCGGAGTGATACCACGGCCTCACAGAAAACCGGCGTGAAATAACCACAGCGTTGTGTTTCGCCGTGTGAGTGAGGTTACCGGAGGCCCAATCCTTCCCCTCCCCCAGTCCCTCCTAAATCCCTAAATCCCTAATCCCTAAAAGGTCGGCAACGCACTCGTAACTCCTCCGTTGCGAGTGTCCATGGGCGGCGCTGATTGCTTACCATCAGGTAATCCGTCAGCTCGTTTGCCGACCTATTAAATAAAAAAAAAAAAAACGCACTTGTAGCTCCTTTGGTGTTTAGGTGACCACGGGCAGTGCCGATTGACTGACGATATATCGCATAAAAAAATGTGACGCCGCTTGACCCGTAACCTTGAACTATAATGAAGGTGCACCCATCCCTTTGAACAACCTTATGTTATTATCATTTTTAAAACACATTGTTTTTATAAACAAGAGCTTTGTATTCCAAGCCACGTGGTTTCTTTGTCGGCACCCGCCTTTCAACCCATACCAAGTAGATACTTACAAATAAGAAATTATACCTATATTATTTTTATTATAACAACATCCCTTTGAAAGCTTCCTTAACTGAAGCACAAGAGTTCGTTTCTGGTTTTTTACTTAAGAGAGAGCTAGAGATGGTTAAACATCGTTTTTTTTTCTGAAAAAGTTTTGTCAACACTCGTCATGGTACTTAAATAGATACTACTATACTTAAATAGATAGATATAATGCAAACTTTTTTGACAAAGCCCAGTAGTATTTTTAGAAACAAATTAATATCCAATATTAAATGTTTACATGTAAAAAAGTAACAATTAAACCATTATAATATACACTTTTAGACGGAAGAGTGTGCTATGACATGAGTGATAGTTGACTATATAGTTTACGCAAAAAGAAATTATTTAAATTTATAATATATGCCATAAAATATGTAATAAAAATAATCATATCTTCATTCTTTGCTTTTACGATATATTACCTACCTAATGTAAGTAGTTTTTTAAATTATAAAACAAGAGAAATTAGTAACTTAACGACTTTAACAAATATGACGTCACAACGTGCTAAAACATAGTCACAAACATACATTGAAAACCATAGAAACTTTTCGTTTGAGAGTTATTCAAAGAGTGAAATATATTAATATAAAGTGGAGTTATTGAAAGTAACGCATTTCCATGCATTTATGTTATTACCTAGCTAACTGATCACACACTTCAGGAATGATAGCTTAGGACGTAGGTTACGAACCTATAACCTAAGAATGGCCTATTGACTCAGGCTAAGTTAGTGTCATTGTCTCCATTTGAGGCTTAAACAATCGTCGGCCGCTTGTAAGGTCAGGTCAAATACCACCTGGTTTAAATCGTTTATTGTTTTAACCGAGCTAGGTACTAAAGTTTATACTGATATCCATCTTTGATCTTAGGCAAGTACTATTAGCAAAAGTTCTTTGTGTCAAATGTGTGGGCAACGTCGCACGGTGGCGTGTGAGAACATTGATGTGATCGTTCAATATATCATAATAAGCCTATAAGTGCCCACTGCTGAGCTAAGGCCTCTTCTCACATAAAGAAGGTCTGAGCATTAATCACCACGCTTGCTCAATGTAGGTTGGCGATTTCAAACTAATAACTAGAAATTAACGTCTAGGTTTCCTCACGATGTTTTCCTTCACCGTATATCAGTGGTGTCTAAATAATCATAGAAAGTACATATAACTCGGAAATAGTCACATTCGTACAGTACAGTTGGCCAGGTTTCGAACCAACACCCTCATGCATGAGAAGCGGGCTCCTTAACCTCCTAGCCCCCATGACCTAATTTCAATATATAGGAGTACATATTTGATTTTCTATGTGATAAGCGGCAAATAAGTATAATCTGATGGTAAGCAGTCCGCACCAAAGGAGATAAGGGGATATTTAGGTTTTGGGGATTTAAGCATTGGACAGGGATGGGAGTCATGGCGTGGTATCACTCCGGCTGTGCCAGCCCAATCGTATTCTATAATATGTGTTCTATAATAGGTATTTCTATAATAGGAGACAAATATTTTATTATCTTTAAGTACTCATTTTAAACTAAACTTGATATATTATGTACGTATAATTACGCGACATCACGCTACCACCAATGGGAATAGACCAGCTGATGAAACCGCTGACAGAAGCTCATCAGTTGTCACGCTTACAATCACTATTACTATCAATACATTAACAATTTTGCCGACAGTACCTGAACTGTACCTTTCTCATATTAATGTAGCAACAACCTAACAGTTTCATTGTATCGTTATTAAGATCTTGCCTATGTAACTAAGTTAATTAACGTTTAATTTGAAGCCAAATCAATACGAAGGCACAAACTTATCTGATTATCTTAATTGATAATAATATTGAAATTGAAATCAAAGTGAGACTAAAATTTGTTTATTTATTTATTGCACAATTTATATTAACCTACACAGAAGCAGGTAAAATCTAAATAATGGTTTGGAGTAGGAGAAGGACCGGTATGGTTTTTAGTCACTAAAAGTTTGACAAACCATCTCCTGATCGTTCTCCTGCTCTAGGCCAGGGCCGCGTAACATTGTGGCGCTTGACCTCCCAACCCCGGCTGCAGTTCAGGTTCAGGTTCGCCAAAGAGCGCGTCAATCTTGTCTCTGCCAAATGGTTTGAACCCGTTGTTCTGGTCTTACGACACCCACAGAAAATAGTACTATTTCTATAATATGATAGGATGGCTAATGAGCAGTTAGCATATGGCGCCGCCCATGGACATCCACAACACCAGCAGGGTTACGAGTGCATTGCAAGCCTTTTTGGTATTTAGGGTTTCGGAGATTTAAAGATTGGAAAGGGAGTGGGTCTGAGGAAGTATTATTAAAGTTTGTTTTCCGGTAACGGTACTCACACGGCGAAACACAACGCTGCGGTCTTACGGTTCGTCCGGTTCTATTTGAAGCAGTAAGTACTTAGTAACAAATAATATATTCTGTTTTGCCTGATATCACAGACAAAATGTCTTAAATCCCTTGTAGCGACATCTATCGTACAACATTGACAACAGCACCAATCACGTACAAGTTTCTACATCGCGCTATAAGAGTTTACAACGCAATTAGCACTGATACAAAAATCCCGACTACGACCGTCGGGCAGTAGCCCACCAGGCACGAACACCACGCCTGGTCGGAGGATCCTCCCTTTTCAATGGAGGATGAGGAACTTTCCACCCTGTTCCTCATACCTCTAAACTCTAAGTTGACTCCTAAGACTAACTGAAAGACTCGGAGTATTTTTGAATAGTAACAAATGTTAGTTGTGATGTGGTTATTCTGTTCTTCCATCATCAAAAGGGACTTGCAATAATTAATTAATGCTGAAAAAAAACCATTTAAATTGCTCAAGGACCAGAACAGCACGGTAAAAAAGTGGATAATTGCACAATAAATCAGCGGGGCATCATGATTGAAGAATAGTCTACACCTGCCATTGTGCTCAAAAGCCCATAACTCAACTGTCCTGTTCCTTGGTTCAGTAAAATTAAAACCCAACATGGTTTTTTCTTTAATTGGGAATGGATATGCGGAAGCAAGTAAATAAAGACAAAAAATTGAAGAAATGCGATGGATTTATCCACTATCAAATTAGCCTGGCGAATTTTATATAAAGAGGTTTGTACTTAAAGAGTTTTTAAGAATATTATTAATTAGCTTCTTTTTAAATAAGGAATTTGCTCAGGTCGTGTACAACTTTTAAAATTAAACTTACACTCGCTCATAAAGGAGGTTGGCCAAACTATTATGGCACTCGTTTGTGCTCTTTTTTGGCACTATAGGTACCTATTAGTGAAACATCAAACATATAAACTACACAAGAACAAAAATATACTAAAATGATTAAGAATAATAAATCAATTTACGCTAAAACAAATTAAAAATAATAACAATAATTATAGATTTGCATATTGTGCTTCAAGAAGCGAAATCATGAATGCCCAATCTCATTTAGATATACAATCTATAACTTTTACACGATTGCAAGATTTATTTTATCCTTCATGTCCATATTTTTTAAATTGAAATCCATAAATCCGTATTCAAATCACAGATAATGCAAAACGAATCCCGGCCATTATTCTACTTTTCCAAGTAGTTTTTTTTTTAATCGCGTTCACATTAACAGGCGAACCCAACAGGTGTCGAGTGCTTTATGCATCCTGATCCCAACACGGTGTTATGAGAAAATTCTTGCAAGGCCACGTCCTTTGAATAAATATTAAAAAGATACGCGAGATTATGTGCATTGATTTTTATCGCACAATTTATTTCGTTACTCCTGTCCAGTGAGATTTTATAAAATGGATAATAAGTTAAATGGCAGCGTTCAAATAGTATTTGTTTTGGTACAATACCTACAAGTCTAACTAAAGAGGAAGCCTTAAAAAATTACATATTTTTGGATGTCGTTCTGTACAAGCTGTTAATAATAGTATTCAGTTTAAACTTCTAAAACTAGGTATCGATCGAATTATATTTCAAATAATTTAAAGTCTTAACCGCGGCTTACAAGATCTAAATTAAGAAGTAAAATCTCTTTGGCCTAAAAAATACGTTTCTCCTTGTTTTTTATAAGAAAAAATAATCGAGTGGCACAAGTACTGCCACCTTTTATTATAAACCTTTACTAACACTTGCTTGGCTATCAATCAACATAGATGTCACTAAGCATTCAAATCACACAAAATAAAATTATATAACAAATGTATTGCAAAATTAACATAATTATGTGTATTAAATAAAAAAATACACATTTATAGCTACAAATATTAATATGTTATCACAAAACCTTTTCATAATATACTACTTTGTTTTGAATAATGTTTACAACTTTCAACGTCACTAAAATGACATGACAGTAAGTTGACATTGACAGTTCATCGACCGTCAATTGGAATTGAACAAAAGAATTTTGTCGTGGAAAACCTGAAATAAAGTAGCCTAATCTACATTATTAAGGTAAAGTTATTTAGTAAACCGGTTATGTTCTACGACTTGCGCAATATTACATCGTTTGCTGGTCTTGGTTAATTTTTGTAACATTATATTCGTACAAATTAGTGCCGAATCAAAGTGACAACCAATTCTCGTCAATTACTGTGTATAAAAACGTAGTGAATCACAACAAGAATCTATTTGTACGCTTCCTGCATCGCAATAAGTGGTAAATAGCTTTATATATTCTAACATTTCTTTATTGCATGTGATAGTTCCTAGTAGGTACTTATAAAAAAGGTGTGATATTTTTTTTTATTATTACGGGTATGTGTTCTGTTATTTTGTTTAAAAAACGTTTTAATTATTACGCATATTGCACTTGATAGGTACTCAATGATTCATTGGAATTATTTATTTATTTATCTATGTTATTTTCCTATCTGTTTTAAATTAAAAGATAACAATGAAAACAAAATGAATCATTGTTTGCTGAAAGAGTACGTATTTTTGCGAAAAATAACATGTGCATGCCAATCGCCAATTATCGCCTTTGTAGTCTTCCTGTAATCATTATATTAAACTATCTACCTACTTCAATTATTATTTTTTTCTTTGCCCATGCCAAATTTAATTATAGGCTTAGCTAAATAAGTAAATAAGTACAAGACTTATGCTATAACAAATTGGTGTAATCAACTAACTGGCTTGTTATGTGTATAAGTCCACTGTGGCTGTGGTAAACACTTTCTTAAAGCCTCCTATTGGATTAAAACACCAGAAAACTGTTTGGTATACATATTTTTTAATCCACTTTCCTAACTTTGTCTTGATATGATATGATTTTCATATGTTTTGTTCAATTACCTTGTCAGCACAGGAATGTAGGAAGAAAATCCCAAAAGAAAAATACAATACCTATTAACACACCATTATAATAAAACTAATTGTATTTAATATTCTATTCTATTAAACTATGGGTTTAAAATGTTTGTTGAGAAATTAATGAATGTGGTGAAAGAGACAGTGAATGCATTAAATAAAATAAAACAAAACAAAAGTCGGTTTTTTATAATTTAGATTTTCTTCTTTGTTGTGGGTGTGTTCATATAATATAATCTTAGTATTTACATCTCACATCCATTGTTATATCTAAGGTCATATTGAAAACAAATTGTTGTTATTTCTTATCTTCTAAATAAATATTTACTACAGCTACGTCAGATAATTAAAAAACACTTGAATCTCTGTTAACTTGTTATCTTTGAAAGATAAACCATTCAATAAATATATAACAAAATAATAATAATATTTTTTTTTTATTTTATAACAAAATAATAGCTCCATATCTTTTTTTTATTATAACTTTCGTGAGACATTCTAAATTATTTATTATGTTTTCGGCTCGCGACAGTCGCCGAGTCGCGTGTCGCGGAATGCTGCTCATGATATGGGCCTAGCATGGCTTGAAACTAGTCGAGTATCTCGTCAAATTATTACGTGAGTAAGCCGAAAACATAATAAATAGCTCCATATCATTTAGAAAAAATTGTTTATTAGAATTTGTTGACAACCTTAAGAAGATATATCCAGCAATATTTCTTTTCAATGCAGTGGTTCAATGTTGTTTTTTTTATACAAAATTAGTCACATAAATAATATCAAAAATTAATCTTGATCCAGAGATCCAAATGCTACTCGTACTATAAATGTAGGAAAAATTAATGTTTTTTATTATCTTTTCGTTTTTTTTTAAACTTCACAACTAAAATAAATGGTTACATTAATTTGTTACGTTAATCTGGAATAGTTAGTACTTTAGCTACATTTTATTAACCTGGTTGATGGCCTGAAGCTAGTAAACTAGTATTTGATAATCTTGTGCATATTTACAAACACATATCTGTGTTAATATTAGTCATCAGTTTCCAATGAAACCTAAGTCAGGCAAATTAATTGATGAATCATTAGCAATTAGCTTCATTCATAACAACAGCACAAATACAAATCATTTGTCATTACAAATATCTTGTTAATTCACTGATAAGACATTATTTGGCTATTGAAATTGATTCTAAAATATATAGTGCACACAGATATCAAGCCACTTAATGGAAAAATGTTGAAAACATAATTAAAAAGCTTTTAATAAATAATGCATTTTAGATTTTTTAAGACAGAACAAAAAATTCTTAAGATTGCTATTTTTATCAATTTTCGTTTATTTTATTTTTTTGTACTTCATGTATTATGTCAATATGTTTAAAAAATAATCTTAATTTATAACAATATAAAAGCACCTATTTACGCACAAACTTTTTATTTAAAAAATAAAAAGAGCAAACTTTTAATTTGCACTTCTCATTACTAGTTAAGAGATATTTATTGTAAGGAAAAATATTTATAGACATAATATCTTAATTTTCACATTAATTATGTCCACTGATACATTAATTGGCTTTCACTATTACTTGTTGGAAGCTATTAAATGTATAATTTAATGTAATTATGTTATAATTAGAATTATTGTAGAAGGACAAGTACTATCAGGACCGTAGATCCTAAGCCAATAAAAAACAAGCCTTTAACACATTAAGCGCCATGGGGGTCACCGGTGACCTCCGTTAGCGGAGGATTTGCCTTCAACAGTTTTTTGTCGGCAGTCAAAGGCTTAAAAATGATTTTTACACATTCCAAAGTGTGATGTTTAAAAATGAAGTAATTTAACTAAGATGTTGATATTAAAAACTGCCCTGTTATATAGGTACTTGCGTCAATGTTGAGAAATAAAAAAATGTTGATTAAAAGAACTCCTGTTAGTTCAGGTTGTTGCCGATTAGCTTAATATTAATAACAATGATTAGGATTCCATTCCCTAACTACATATTTACAATGAGTAAGATCAGCAGCCCTTCCTATCTAATTCTAAATTAGGACATAAGCCATTAGTTCTTATTGACTGCTATTGAGCCAGATCTTTAGTTCTTCGCAACTAAGGAAGTGTGGATGAGCCTTTAACTAATGAGGCATCACGGTCAGCTGGTTAACGGCTTAGGTACGGAGATGATCTCCGGCCACCGTAAGCGCGGGTCTGCGGACGGCGAGTAAGGGTAGCTCGCCGCCCGACCAGAACCGGACCCGCTGCGTACGGCGCGTAGCGTTCCGCGCGCGCCTCAAAAAGCCAATAGACCACCACAGTCGGGGCCCTAAAGAGCTGATGTTTAGCCGGGGCTGCGGGGTAAGCGTAATGAGGCACCGCCACCTCGGCCCAGAGCAGGAGAAGGAACGTGGGGGTTTTTACTCAGTAAGAGTCTGACACTCTCTCTCCCCTTGCCCTGGGCGGGAGAAGTCATTGGATGATTTTTCTCTGACAAAAAAAAAGGTACGTTGTTTCGTGGCGTTAAAGGGAAGCCGAACACAACGTAAACCCCTTCACCTCCTCCAATCCTCAAATCCCTGACCCCAACGCACTTGTAACTCTTCAAGGTTGAGGGTGTCCAAGGCCGATTGCTTAACATCAGGGGATCCATCTTCGCGTTTCAGACCAAAAAAAATAGTGTCCAATCACTGCCAGCCATCTTGGGGTTATCGACATTCCATCTAGTTAAGCGGCAAATTATTTTCAACTTTTCATACACTCGAAATAAAGATAAAAATTCAATAAACCACTATCGGAATTTGGTTAATGTGGGACGCTATCAAAAGAAGTTTTGCGTAATTATAATATTATACCAGTTGTCCTTCATTTCTGTTGCTCATTAATTCAATCGTCGTCTCATTAGTACATTTGTTATGTAAATACGTTGCTATTCAAATTAATTTCCACTCTAAATTAATACTGATAAGAATAAATTTTTAATTTTATTGAAGAAAGCTTTCGTTTACAAGTGACCTTGAAATATTTTTTTATTGCGATCAATGATGTATAAAACTATAGATACGTTGTCCGCGCTCTAAAATGACAACATGAAATGAAGGCAATTGACAACATCGCGCTTAGTTACGCACCAACCTGCCGCGCGGCGCTACATTTGTTTTTAATTTATATCGTGTGTGTAAACCTGTGCGAAACATAAAGAAAGCATGTCGTCGTGTGTGTTCAGACGATGTACAAATTATACTCCAAAAGTTAAAGACAAAAATGTGTCATTTCATGCGTAAGTTCACCAAATAACCTATTTTTATTTTATTTTTTTCGACGCCGGCGCCCGCCATCTTATGGCGGCCGGCGCATGAAGGTATAGTCACGTGCCGTCGGCATAACTGAAGATGTATATTTATCTCCCTCTAGCAAAGGCATTCCACTATACGATGTCATATTATCTTTCCCTTTGTTTACTCGTAGAAGTAGTTACAATTTTCGCCGTTTTTATGCGCCGCGATGTTGGTTCATGACGTGTCTATATATAATACGTCATTGATTGCGATAATGTTCTGTTACTAAGTTAGGTTTGTCATGCAAAGGTTACTTCTGGTTAGGTAATTATATTTTGTCGTAGCTCTCACTATTATTCCTTTTTTCTATTCTGCTCCTGACTAGGACTCTGGGACCCGCAACTCCTGATCAATTCCGAACAAAGAACCACCAAAGAGATTCATTTATGTTTCTTTACAGATAAAAAATGGCAGAAAGGGAACCAATAAGCGGATCAAGCCGGGACTATGGAGCGACGTCAGCAGTTCCCAACGTCAGCTTTGCAGACTTCAGTCCCACAGAACTATACAACCTGAGTGAGGGTATAGCTGACAATGTCAACAGCATCAACAGCGGCCTTAAGTCGCTGGAGAAGATGATGAAGCAGATTGGTGGACCTAATGACAGTGTGCAGCTAAGGGATAAAATGTAAGTAGTTTTCTTTCATAAAAGTCTTTCCAGTATTTGTTTTAAGTGTGTGAAAGCCTTGGCTCAACCGGAGATGCCTAGGTCTCACAGAAATCTGGTGTGAAACAACTACAGCGTTGTGTTTTGCCGTGTGAGTGAGGTTACCAAATGGAAAACCTCCTTCCTCTCTCCTGACTTCCCTAATCCCTAAATCTCTAATCTTCAAAAAGCAAGCAATGCACTTGTAAGTCGACTCCAGTTGCGGGTTTCCATGAGCGGCGTCGATTGCTTACCATCAAGCTATACGTCTGCTCGTTTGCTCTCTTAACTTAAATATAATATAAAGGGAATTATTGTAGGCAACATCGCAAGGGCTAGCTAGGGGTAGGTATAGCGTACAAATATATATTTAATCGCGAAAGTTTGTAAGTATGAATCTTACTCTTTAACGTAAAAACTGCTAAACGGAGTCAAAGAAAAATTTGATACAGGTTACGCTAGATAAAACGAGTATAATATAAATGGTGAAAAGTGTATTTATTACTCACTATCCCCTCCGAAGACATAAAAGGCGTGGCGTTATGATGTAATACTATTAATACGACACAGATAAAAGTACAAATACCTTAATTAATCAATAATTGTCGACCTTCCAGCCACGATACACAGCAAACTGTGAACGGGTCGGTGTCAGCGACCGCGCGCGACATTCAGCGACTAGGCGTAGTGGTCAGAAGGGGAGACAAACCTCAGAAACTTCAAGTTGAAAGACTCACACAGGCCTTCACTGAAGCTCTTGCGAAGTATTCTTCAGTTCAGAAGGTATGTTACAGAAATTAAAAATTAGCGCCATCTAGTGTTCCCAAAAAATATTTCCTTCGTTGCAAGTATTTATTTTTGATGCCAATGGTTGCTTGGCGATAATGGCGTGTGTTGGCACCAAGTATGAATAATATTTTTTAACACATAAAAGAGTGACGTTGTAATCCAGATAAAGACACAGAATGGTATTAAAATCTGGAAGAAAAAATTCTAAAAGTAATAATTAGCTTACTTTTGTCTTAGAAACTACGTTATCAATGTTTACGTCCTTGGCAATATGGTTCATTATGATTTTCCCGATAATTGCCCATGTCCCACGTCTACCTTTGTACTTACCTAACTTTTCAAAAACCCTTACAAATATTATTATTATTACATTCCTTTTATTTACAGCAAGTATCGGAAAAGATGGCAGCTCATATGCCAAGGCCGCCGCGCGTGCGCAACGACCCTCAAGCGATGGAAGATCAGGCTATCGCTGATGATGAAGAGGCCACGCTCATTGCTAACCAACAGGCACAGGTGAATATATGGTTTCTTTTATCTTTTAGGACAGCAAACGAGCGGTCGGATTACCTGATGGTAAGTAATGCCCATGGACACTCTGCAACTTAAGAGGCGTTAGGAGTACGCTACCGGCTTTTTTGGGGATTAGGGTTACGAAGATTTAGGGATTGGGAGGGGAGATGAAGTATGAAAGTTCCAATAACCTCGCTCATACAGCGAAATTCATCGCAAGCGTTTTTAACACTGGTTTTCTTTAAGGCTGTGGTATCACCCCAATTCAAAAGAGAAAATTACAAATTTAATTACTGACTTTATAACTTCTTCGTGTATTTCAGGCGCGTCTTGTCCAGTTCGAGACGAGCATGTTGCTGGAGAAGGAGGCGTATATCAACAAAATAGAAGCCGACGTGCTGGACGTGAACCAGATCATACAGGAACTCGCTGATATGGTCAATCAGCAGGCCCAGTCTGTTGGTAAGTCGACGATTGAAGAATAAAAAATTTTATTCCTCAGTTCTTTATGTGACACCAATAATATTTTTATTTTGGTCTCTATGTCGTGATTATAGTGTTTTAAGCACCTGAATTTGAGGACTGTCTCGTAAAACTGATATGTTTCTTGGCTTGGCTGTTTCATCGGCCTATCTATGATGAAACAATGAATTTATTTTTGTAAATACGCCAAAAACAGCGCTTTATACATTATATATTTTATTCTCTATGGGCCTCAGATGCCTGACTTAAATTAATAAATAATAAACAAAATAAAACTGGATAAAGCCGGCATTTCCTATCTGACTCCTCTCAGAAGAAATACCGAAACAAACTCAAGGTCTCTTTTATACTCAAGACAAATTAAAAATAATGTAATTTAAGTGCTGACTTAGCAAAAACCTTTTCTCACTCAATAAGGTTGGAGCTGACGTTTGCTTAAGGCCAAATGGCGATAACAAACTTATAATAATTAGAAATCATAAGTCCAGATTTTCTCGATGACGATGTTTTCTTTTGTCATTAGTGTCTATATAATTTTAAAAAGTACGATAACATAAACAATCACATTGGTGTTCCCATGTCAGAGAAACAAATGGAAAATATCCTTTTGACATGGACATGTCGGAAAATATCATTATCTACCTAACACTCTCAACATCTGTCATCTTTTATTCTTATGACTTAAGTTGCTAAAAAGCAGTGAAATACGGTAGTTTCCAACTAGTCAAATTTGTATGAATAACTGAGTTATGACGTCATAGTATTTTTGAGTCAAATAGCTTACTTATTTGTTAATAAATAATTAGCCATAAAATATCTAAAATTCAGTGTATCGATCGATCGATCGATGAATAAAATTTTTGACCTAGGAAACTACCCAATTGTCTGATTGTAAGCAATCGGCACCGCTCATGGATACTGGTAAAACCTCACTCACACGGCGAAAAACAATGTAATTATTGTTTCACGCCGTTATTCATAATTTTGTCAGTCAGTTTTAGTCGATCAGCTAAAGGCATGTCTCAAATTTAATAATTAATTTTCCTATTCTAGATAATGTAGAAAGCAACATTGAATCAGCTGGGGCCAACGTAGAAGCTGGTGTCGACGAACTAGCGAAGGCAGCCGAATATCAACGTAGATACAGAAGAAAAATGCTTATCCTCATTATAATAGGCGTAATCGTAGCAATCATATTCATCGTATGGGTTATCAAAGCGTTCAGATAGATTGCTTTAAACTTAAACCCAGTATTACCACATGAAGTTTGAAATGGGTACCAACACTTACCCTTGAAGAGATATTTATCTATCCTATTACTATATTAGGGTCTCGTGTCTCGCCCCAGAAGAGAAGGCATCGAATTTACCGCTGTTATAATTGACTTAGAGGCGTATATATTTTGTATTTTAAAAATATTTATTTATTAAATAAACCATCTAAGTTAAAGTGTAGCATTAGACAAATTGAAGCTAACAGTTGCAATTTTTCAACCGCTACGAGTGCTGGTGTCGATTTTAATCTGCTTATCAAACTTTTAGCGCCAACTATGATGAAAATGCAGGATCATATTCGATAGTGGCGCCATCTGCACAAAAATTGTAACCTTCAAAGTGATAAATATGGTTTGAAATAAACACCAGTAGAAATATTGGACTATTATTGGGTAATTTTAATTGCGTACCCATATATGCTACAACTAATTACCTGTAGATATTGATAATAATGAAAAACATAACTTAATTAGTAACAAGTACAATGTAACTGAAAAAACCTAGCATCATATAGCTACTAATTACCATTACCTATTTAATTAATTATTCTTATGTTGAACGGCTAATCACGAACGGCTAGGACTCAACTAGTTTCAAGCCACACTAGGGCTCATATGCATGAGAGCATTGCGCTATTACGAGCGGTGTGGATCACTAGAATTATTATCCAAAACCTAGTTGTCTAACGTTGTAATACATAATAAAATTGATACAAAAAGTCTTGCCTAAAGCATATATTTTAAATACAATAATTGCTTTTTCACTCTAAATATTTATTGATAAAAGATACGGATTGACGATATGTTAAAGCGAGATGGAATTTAAATCTACGCCATGAATTGTTCTAGTGTGAAAAGGATGGAAATATAAAGTAGTATTGCTCTATCTCTTTCACACTGATATGATAAAGATAACATTGTTCTAGTGTGAAAAGGATGGAAATATGTAGAAATATTGCTCTATCTCTGTCCCACTGGTATGATAAAGACAATATGTCATTATGCCTGCACTGGCAGGACGACAAAGATTTTGGCGTTGATTCTCTTGTTTGCGATTCGTTTGTTTTAGATAGAGTTTCGTTCTTTTTCATTGTTTTCCAAACTAAACGACTCCAATAAACTTCAAAAACTTAAATAAAATGTCTTTTGTATTCAACTCTAATAGTAAATCAACTTTTACTAATATCTTCAATATGACTCCTGTTTTCTCTTTCTTCTATTGTCATTTTAAAAGATCGAGCAAGAGAATCTGCGGCATTTTGAGAATAGATCTTTACGAAAAGTGTAGGTCTACAGTATAATTTAAAGAAAATTTAACAGCTGTATATATAAAGCGTTATATGTTGTATAGTAATGCCAAAAAGACAAAATAAACTAAATTCAATTATAAACCTTAACACAGTGTAATAAATAAACTTATCATTCGTACCCATATTTGAATCGTATGACTAATTTTATTCAATTAGGTACGGTTTCGTGCAATAATAAGAAGCAGTTGTTTAGTTTTTTTGGCATTACGATATTGAAATATAGTTGAGTTTTATCTCTAATATATTAATCGTAGCTAGAGTTTTATTATAGGCGTAATATTAAATAATTCTACATATACCATGTTTAATTTATAACATTCCAAAGATATATTTTACATTATAATTCCCGGTTTATTTGAATTCAGACTTTACAGTAATTGCGCAAAAAATGCTCACATATCGGTTTGCGCATTTAAGTTTGCGCAAATAAATAAAATAACTTATAAAATATTAAATCGGCTTAACACCCGGCAAATCAAGAATTTTTTTCGGGTGAATTTTTTCGGGGTTTCATTTCGGGTGATTCTCCAAAAAACCTTACCTTTTATTTAAAAAATCATTTTCCTCGCGGATATTTTTAATCTATTGCTTATAAGCAGCGGTGCGATTTAATTAAATAAAATCATTATTTGTGTTTTAATCTGCAGAATCGTTAATTTTCGTTAAAGGATACCTAATGACATCATTGATTTTTGTTAGGTAAATTGATGTGAGAAATCACTCTTTTGACAGGTTTAACTGTCATGTAGGCTCCATTCGTATTAACAAAATAATGAAGTTTGACAATTCTTCAACTAGGTATATGTTAGTAGTTTATGAGTTTTTTTCTTGGGGGTTAAATCATCAAATTTCTTTTTACACCCAGAGAGGAAAAGAGGGAGTGTCAGACTCTTACTGACTAAAAACCATCCGTTCCTTCTGCTTCAGGCCGGGGCCACGGCACATTATTGCGCTAGACCTGCAGCCCCGACTGTCCTCATACTTAATTTTATCCTTATAAGGCAGCTTCATCATTATTATTCTTATTAATAGAATTTTCCTACACATTTCTTTCTTTAGACAAATAATCACAGTATTCTTTTTCTCGTCAATATTTTAAACTTTATCGGCCTTATTATAAAACAAAATCCTATCTGTTTATTTTATTATGTCTAAACCATTGAACCAGTTTTTGTATTTAATACGGTAGTTTCCAATTAGTCAAATTCAATACTTTTATCCAAACGTCAAAAAAGACACTTTTCTATGAAATTTGTATGAAAAACTGAGCTATGACGTCATAAGTTTTCGCGTCAAACAGCTTACTTATTTCTTAATAATTAGCTAAAAAATATCTAATATTTAGTGTATCGATCGATCGATGAATGAAAGTATAGTTAATTTTCAATATTTTATTGTATTGAAACGTCGAAATAATTTATTTTTGACCTAGAAAACTACCCAATTGTAGGTAGGTGAGAATAAGATTTAAAATACAAAATCTGACTCAATGGTTTAAACCTACTTTTGTTTCTAATAAGGTACCTATACTACTCGGAATTTTAATTCCATTCCAGATTTGACAATTTCGGTGTTGCAACGTTATGACACGTAATAAATAGTGACGTTGCGAAATTATTCGATATGGAAATCGAATATTTCTGAATCGATTCTTCTCGTTTATAAATTTAATCTTGTAAACTAAGTTTATCAGGAAATAAAATATTTTTGAACCGATAATTTAGTTTTGACAATTAATTAACGATCTGAGACTTTTCTTTTGTAATTGTGTGTGAAATTAATAAAAAATGTGATCATGAAGGAACGTGACAAATAAAACAGACATTTTATAAATTGTCACCGTCATCGCGATCGCTATCGCTGTTACTTTATGTAAATACTAAATGTATTTATTATGAATTGTGTCTGTGATATTTATTGTCAATTTACATATCCAGCTTATTCATTTTTTCCTCTTTTTTGAAAACATGGGATACACATTTAGACCATTCGGTAGCCGTAATTTTTTTAATGCCTTCCTGAAACTGATTCACTGATTGTTTATCGATTTTTGTGTTCATCACTACACTGTTATATGTGGTATCATTATTTCACAAAATGACAGTAGTCAATGTCAAATCAGGAATCGAATTAAAAGTCTGACTATAGTCTTGTTTTGTAATAAGGGGGTAAATTTTGGTCTTTTTAAAGAGTTGAAGTATCTCCATCTCTTTCTGATCCATACACTTTAATCTCGGTGGCGTCCCGTGTCCTATCATGCATCCTTTTTCTTTAATTTGTAAGTTTTAAATTTTTTCAAATACTAAATTCCGCCCGCGGCTTAGCTTGCGTTTAAAAGTAATGTTGCCCGGGATTTGAAAAACACCAGCGTTTTAAGCTATATAATATGGACTAAAACGCAAATCAAGTATAATTTATGGCCTCAGGAACATTCTAGCTATGCATATAACATTGAAAGAATTTTGGGAATCCGACCAGCGGATCCAAAGATTACTCCCTACATACAAATTTATATTTACCTCTTTATAATAAATATTAGTATGTATAACTATAGACGACACGATTGTCGATCGATTTTGAAAATTATTTTAGACAATACGTTTTTTTCTCAACTAAAGAAACTAAATGTCCTTGTAACTAACTTAGATTTTAAGTCTTGTATAGATATGTACCTATATTAACATGATAAATTATGTAATATTTATTGTAGTAGACAAGAAGGCTGTTTTAACTCATTCTAGCACTTACCGTATTCATTATTTCTATGTTTTGTTAAAAGCATTTGTATTTGTAATAGGGTTCAAAATTGACTGGCAAATAATTTCTTGGTACTTGAATTTATTTTCTCTCTGTAAGCCTAAATGCATACGACAATAATTTTTCTTATCAATGCTTTTAACAAAACACTTTAACTATATTTCGTTGAATATGTAAAATATATTTATAATAAATCTTTGCCGAAAATTGTTTTCTTTAAATTGATTGAAAATCGAACTTAATCGCAACTTCAATAAAGTTGAAAATTGTGTAAATTGCTGTAATAATCTATTGCTTAGCGGTATTAGACTCTCGTGTTAAGAGCAAACGGGTGAAGTTTAAATGCAGGTAGAAAAAAAATTGAAACTAGAAAATTTATCGAATCATATCTTTGTATTTAAATTAAACTGAACTAGAAGACAAAAGAAAAATAGAAATAACCAACTATTCGGTGCACGTACATGAAATAGCACGCTTTTTTATTTCTATACAATTATTTTACTAGTGCACAATATTAGTAAAATACAGTATTGATATTTACTCGACGTAATCTCAATATTAGATGCAATTTCAAACACATTCATTCTCTATTGGATATTAAGAGCTTGTTTCATAAATGTGTGTTCTATATTCAAATTTATCTGAGTACCTATCAAACGACATGTTTACGACATTCGGCGCTCTCATTGGTCGGCTCCAAATTAACTAACCAATCAGAGAGCTATTACGTGGTAATGTTTTAATCGCGTTAAAGCGAAGAAAACTTACACCAGGCACTATATATATAAAACAGGCTATTAAGGACATTAATTAAAAAAAATCGTAGTCACATTTAAAAAACGCACAAAAGTGTCTGCAATAGTAAAAATATTGTGCACTAAACTAACTACAACAAAAATATCCATTTACGTATACTATCACAAATGAATAAGTTTCAAAAAATAAAACTTAATGATCAGATAATTGTAAGATGATATTGCTTCAGGAACATTTTTTATTGACACCCGTTACACATTATACACTTTATTTAAAAAAAAAAAACAAGTAACGCCAATACTAAAACAATGACAACTAATGTGACGGTAAAAAGTTTTTAACCTGTGGTATTAAAAAGGTGACTGACTGTCTACGGTTCAATTATTAAAAACTCTTGATTGACAGGAAAATAGACACTGGAATACTTAAATAATTAGTAGTACTTACATTTGAATGTTACACAACTTTTCATACCTACTAGCAGTTACTCAGAGTAAGTACTCAAAGACAAATTGTGGTCTGAACAAAATCCTCACTAAGAAATGATTTAAGTAATCATTGAATATCTCCCGGGTAAACCAGCTGGGTTCAAAACTTTTCAACCGCCTAACTAAACAGATGATTTTGACATAAAAACACAATATCAATTACAAACGGGCGCAAATAACTAAGAGATCTAAAAATATTTCATATTTTCAAAACTGCATTAGCATAATTTCAATAACTTAAAATTTTGACACAAAATAGAAGGAACAACTTGTACAGATACCAGCATAGCGAAATAACCCAATATTTCAAAGGATTTTCAACTTTATTTCAAAGTTATAACAGTTGAAAATCGTTTAAATATCTTACGGATTCTGTCTAATATGCTTAAGTTAGGACATCTGACGGAAACATACATATTTATAAATTAACAATATACATCTAAAATAAATATTACACAAAACAGATACTAGTGCAAAACTAAGACATAGAGTAATCGTTATAAATAATTATATTACAACACATAAGGATATCGATAAAAAAATTATCGATAGATACAGCACATGGACTTCACAACACTACTTGTCACATTCTATTTTGTGTCGCAACGAATTAAAAACAAGGAATAAAACAATAAAATGTAATAAAGAGGCGTGTCAAACACCTGTTTACATTAATGCTTAAAAATATCAAAAATTTCTTTTTTTTAACCTAAAGAACTCATGATAACAATGGCTTTGTTAGGGAAAAAGGGTACTGAACCCTTTTTTATGATAGAAGGATTGATTTCTTTTATGGAATAGTGATAATCGTGAGACTAACTACAGTTATTGAAAATAATGACTTTACGACGTGAATTAACAAAGAAAATCTCTACTAATTTCAAGTCAAAAGGGGACTTTGATGTCCCGTCACCTACGATCCGTCACCACGACGCGACGTCGCGCAGCCGACGTCGTCGACTTTCAATAAATTTGGATTGATTCTTATACAAAGATACCCCTAATTTGATGACATGTTTTAAAAATCCAATGTCATAAAAAAAATCAACATAATTATGTAAAATGTAAGGTCACAAAGTTTATTCTAGCTTAAGGTCGTGTGTATTCGGTTTTAAAATATAGCCACTTACTAAAAGATCGATCGAAAAAAATTATAGAAATTTGCATGTAATTCTCCTATACTTTCTACAACCCACTCAAATTCGACATCGACACGATTTGTGACATCTCACCGATCCGTAAATCTGTATTTAATTACAAATATTTTAACTCCCCATTCGATCGACATGTTTACGATACATTTATAAACCTTTCGGGGAATAATATATTGTCAGATAAAACACTAACATCAGCCATTGAAATCAGATAAAAATTAATACAAAAAAAATTCACCAATAAGTATGGTAACGAGAAATTTGGACATTTCCAACTTATACTAGAAATTAATGCGATTTATTGTCGCCAATTACTAATATTATTATTAAATCAGTTACGTTCAATGAGGAACATTGGATTATTAGAATGTCGCTATTAATATTTAAAAATGGAAATTGTTAGCAGTCAAACCTCGATGATAATATAATCTATGTTAAAGTTATGGCCTCCAAAAAGGTTTATAATAAAATTTACTTTAATTTTATTAGCCATTAATATCTTTATAATCAGCTCTTTCACTTTTAAAGTTTGGAACGAGCAAATACCACAAAGAGGACTGACCGACAGACTGACACTTTATATCTTTAAAACTTTGTTTGACGTTCAAAAGTGCCTGTATGGGTCTAATTGAAATAAATGATTTTGACTTTTGACTTTCGCTCTATTTTTCAATCTTATGTCTGCCCATGTAAATGAAAGCAAATATGGTACAAAACTTTATTTATTTTTACCAACCAACTTTTCATCATCACCAGCTTGAAGACGGCCATTACTGAAGAAAGCTAAAAGGGAGGCTAAAATAATATTTTAATCAAATTGACTGAATTTATAAACATTTTGATATTGCCAGCCAAACAGAAGAGGATTATTTTTTTTTATTGAACCTTTTTTAATGCTATGGCAAATGCCAATATTGCCACTTTATACGCAATGATTTTATATGAGTCAAGAATTAAAAACAAACATAAAAACCAATCACATATCAGAATCTACTGCTAACAATTTCGAACGGTATATAGTATGGCATAAAACTGCACCCAATTGTAAAAATGTATTAATTGCCCATTAGTGAAAAGCCAAATTGATATGATATCATTTAGAAAATAAAATTGAAATTATCTTGGCACATTTTTTCAAGTTTTAGAGTAGAAATTCAATGCAGTTTTATTGCTATTGCGTATGTATTATTACAGTATTCATTCAACGCGCCCAAGCACTGATACGCAGTGAGGAAACACAATAAATTAGTACTATTCATTCAGTTAGATTTGGTTTATCAAAATGCATTTTATTTTCAGGTTTAAATTATATTGTATTACGTACACTAAAACGGGCCTCTAACGGACGATCAGACGATTGTTCTTTTTTTTTTGTACTAGTTTCGTATTATTTAATTGTTTATCAACGTTTATTTTATTTCCCAGTCTGCAAAGCATTTACTTAAAAAATATAAGCTACATATTACGGTTCTAATATTTGAATTTCAAAAAAGATATCATACTGCAACGTCACCAGAAGTCTGAACGTCAGTAGAGTCCCAATTTACATATCTAAATGATTTAGGTATTCACAGATTATTATTTATACATAAGACAGGCATATGTACATAATTTGTTTGCCAAATACGGTTAAGATGTGACGAGAAAGTATAAAATAAAATATTTAACATGACAGTGATTGTAAAAATTCAGTCTTATACACGGATTAACTATTTACAGGGGCAGTTTTGATTTACAAGCATTCATATGTTAAGATATGATTGTTAACTTGAGAAATTATTTTGCGCAAGTTAGCGCAACACACTAAAAGTTTGCGCAAAGTGTTTGCGCATACAAACTGTAGCCGGGATTTATAAAAGCATCTTTTTAAGGACACGTCGTATTGATTTTTCTTAGTCTTCGGACTTTCATCAAGAGATTCTTAGGGCAACATATCAAATTGAATTTTGTGCGCAATTTACTAATACTTACAACTATTCTAATCGCAAGGAAGGGTGAAAGTAAAAACAATTGAGAAATTAAGATATTTCTTTAAAACATCGAACCCCATGTTGGGTTTTGGTATCTGATAGCGGAGGATTAGCCTACAGCAGTTTTAGTGCGCAATTAAAGTCTTAATTATACTCCAATTAAAAATATTGATAAGATTCCAATGGGTAAGCTCTAAGACGATAATAATCACAATAAAAGCTTATTTAAATTCATCTGAACTACACCAGGTAGTCTATCACATTCGCTTTACATAATATTGTCTGGTTTATTTTTTAAGAATTTTATTTGTAAAAGTGTAATGAAGAGGAACGTAACCCTTCTTTTAAGTCGGGTAGTAAAAAAAGGATATTATGCATTCGGTCTCTCGTCACATCACTAAACGTTCCTAAAACGAAATTTTCACAATTTGGTCGCGTATTTATTTATTTTTATATAAAAAAATATACCGTCAGCAGAAAAATGTTATTTAATGCATTTATATTATTATTTTTTCTTATTATTTATCACAGAAACTGTTGAGAAGCGTAAATATTATTTATTTTCTAACTATTGCTTTGTTTATTTGTAATAAAGCGTGTATTCGAGTCTTTAGTACTTTTATTCTTAAAATGCAATGAGTATGTTTTGAAAGCGAGTGTAGTACCGCTAACACTACGATATTGGCTGAATTTGAACTTTAAAGTAATATTTTGACAATTAAATTGACTCATTCTGATAAATGAAACTAAGGAGTCACTTTATTTTATTTTACTGTGACTTTTATATCAACGTGTAAGTGAGTTTAATGTAAACACTAATTCCTAATATTTATTTGTTATTTTATAAATATCTTATTATTTATACCAATGAAAATAAAAAGAAGACAGTAGGTATTTCTAAATCTATAAGGCAACATCAAACTAGTCATTAGGAAAAATATGACTACATGTGAACACTATGATCCTTGTAAACTAGAGAAACTTAGTTTCCTAAACAAAATAAAACAAACACAAAGAAAATTAGAAAAAAAAAACGACCAAAATTAAAAAATAAAATTTAATTCCTCATTCCAAGATTCCAAATTATTTGACATGGCAGTTAAAAAAAATCGATAACAATTTTTTTATTTATTTATTTTTAGTAAAATTTTGAACTGATTCTGCTGACGGTACACGAGTATAACTTACTACTACTACCGCAGTTTGGCTTGGCGTTGTTGCCAGACCGCATACTTTGCGCAAGCTGTGTCTATCATTTGATTCATATGCCGCGTCAACGTTGCTGCTAGCGGCGTTAATTCACGGAGCATTTTCTCCTGAAAACAAAAAGAAAAATTCAGTAAATAATTTTAAAGTCAAAGTAAAATCATTGCAATTATACCTTTTGAAAGGTCAAACAAATATTTAAAAATACAAAAGTACAGTCTGTCTGCCAGTCCCTTACATATATAATTATAAAATTAAGATATTCGTTAATTTTGCTAAAACTCAACGGATGGTCCTATTTGGCTTATTTTGTTCTTGAAATATTCGTGGATGTCTAGGGAAAGTGTAGAGGGTCAGAAAAATATAGTTAATTTTGAGTCGGCAGGGAGTTAGCCAGGTCAATTAGTTTAAATATACCATTTTAATGATTATGCGTATGAGAAACTTTGAAAGCCAAACAAAATATTCAAGAGAAAAAAGTATCTGTCTGATCGCGATTTCGGTTATTCCCGATTGATCGTTATATTTTAATTCTCAGATTGAGTATGGCAATTCATATCTTTCAGTGTAGAAAGATAGAAGAAGAAGACGACACATATAGAGTCTACACCCACAGTAGACATTTACAAGATTTTTATGGGTTGAGGGCAAAGGACCGAACACAATCGCATTGCTTTTTTTTTAATTTGCCCCACGTTACTCTTAACAACATACTAATTCACATACACTACGCCAACCGTGCAGCATGTGAACCGTCCATGGACATCCACAACATCAGAAGAGTGTTTATTAGCTTATTTTGAAGGAAAACATTGACCTTTGATAACCTCACACTTAAAAGAACTTTTATTGAATTCTTACCTCAAAAGGCCTCAATTTAACATTCCTAAATCTGAGCAGTGCTTCGTAAAACTTCTCTGCTTTAGCCGTGGCGTCCTCCGCATCTGTGTTGGCGCCAGGTTGGGGGAAACAACGCCATAACTCCCTAAGTAACTCGCCACCGGATAGGTAGATACGGTGCAGTTCTGATTTCACGTCGGGAGGTATTAATTCTGGAAAGGAAGTTTATTTACTTGTTAATCATTGTGTCGGGGTAATAAAGCCTTACTAAACCTTTCAATCGTGACAATAGGTGCGCTAACGCCGGCTTTCGCTTGGGGTTTGATGTTTTAAATGATCAATAGTCAAATATCTGCTTAACTCTTAAAAAAATTAAAGTTATGACGTTTCGTAGTTTTTTAAGAGGCAAAGTATCGTTGGGCTTTACTTTTCTAGTTTGAGCTTAAGTGTTTTAGGAGGCTGAAATTATGCATGTATCTCAGTGAAACTGGACTGTATAAAAGGAAATGGGTTTGTCAGTATGCCAGTCCATTGTAAAATAACGCAAAGAAATTATTGTTATTAAGTACGTTTTTTCCCCAACGTATACCAAACTGTACCTGGAATCCCGATGATTATTCACACCTATTGAATAAATAGCACCATATCCCTAGACCACATAGACCATGGATATACAGGTCTAGAAAGCTCGCTCAGAATTCAGATATCAATTGAAAGAAATCGGATAACGGATATTGCATTGCCGAAACTACCATTGAAATTGTTCTAAGAGCATGACAGACCATATTTAGAGAGGTTCGGATCGTCGTGCGAAAACGCAGGACATTTATTTACACGATATTTTTTTATACTCACGTGCCATAGAAGCAGCTTGATGATGCCTCATGAGCGCTCCGCCGGGGCTGAGTTCTCCTAGCGCGCCGACACACGCACTCGCGCTTACACGTACAGGCCTTTGACATTGCTGTCCACTTGACCATGCCTGTATTAGACCAAGATTCTTTATTTTTATTGTTCTTTTGAGGAAAATATTGACCCACACTACGATGTCATTCTAAGTCGTTTAGAAACAAAATATTGTCACACATATCAAACACACGGCCAGGGTTGCGGGTCAAGCGCAATAAATTACCGTGGCCCCGACCTAGAGCAGGAGAAGGACCAGGGTGTCAAGTCAGAAAGAGTCACCTCGTCTCGCCTCACCCTGGGCGAGTGAAGGCATTTGATGCGTATAAGGAGTACCTCAAGGCTGTGCATTGGGACCAATTTTATTTTGTAAATACCCCTGTTTTTTATTGCGTAGGTACTCTATTTTTTAATATCATTGTGTGATTGCAAAATGCAACCAAAGCTTTCATCGTTAAATAGTTTATTCAAACAATAAGGTTTCATGTTCAAAAAAACTCCGGAACTTTACTTTTTGAAATTGTTGTTCCAGGTCTAGGTGCAATAGCTCAGAGCCAATCCACCACTACAGACGGGGCCGATGTTCAGCCGGGGTCAGCTTCGGCCAAAAGCAGAAGTAGGAGGGGTTGTGGGGTGTAGTCAGATGTCTGACACCTCCGAAAGAAGGCACTGTGCGGCTTTCCGCTCAAATAAAAGGTCTAGGTGTGAGGTGTGAGATAATGGAAATATGTAAACACAGCGACGATACAGAGCAACATCCTAGTGGAACTGTTTTACAAGAAAATAAAACGCAAAACACGAAAGTCTGCAGATTTAAACTATTACTAATCACTAACAATTAGGATATTACCTAGTTATCAATATGTAATCTTTAATAGGATATATTATATTAGACTAATCACCACATTAACAAAAATAAAATGGTTTTATAGTACAGTTAAGTAGGAGAACTGATAGAAACTTGACTTACCTGACAAATTGAGGTGAGTGCCGATAAAGGAGGAGGGTTGTGTGTGTGTATGTGTGCTTGTTGCGACTGACTCGACGGGCCGAGGAGATATCTTTCTACCTGTAAGTATAAAATATTAATTGAATAATCTATCTTATCTTTTTAAATAAAAATGAATCGCAAAATGTGTTGGTAAGGGTATAAGTCAACAATACCTGGACCAATTTTGGTAATTATTTTTTTGTTGTGTTTGTTATTGTCAGGAGAAGGTTAAAAAAGAAGAAAATATTAGAAAAGTAGAGGGGAAGATTAGAAAAAAGTGACCCTTTGATATCGAGATAGTTGGACCCGTGCGAAGCAGGGGCGGGCCGCTAGTATATAAATAAAAGAATTGCTAATCGTTAGTCTCACTAAAACTCCAGACCTCGACGATCGACGGTCCTTTTTTTGGCGCAGGGAAGGGATATGGTAATACATACTCCATCCCATTGTTTGCCATTGCGATATGCTTTTATTGTAAATCTTTATGTATAAAAAAAAGTTCGTATTTGTTACACTATTTATAACTCGAGATCCGATTTAGCTGAAAATTGGTAGGGAGGTAGCTAAGAACATAGGGTTGGAAGACAAGGTAGGGTTGGTAGAGTTGGGTAGGATAAGTAGAATAGGGTAGGTAGTGTAGGATAGGATGAGAAGTGTAGGTATGTAATTAGGTTGGGAGTGTATGTAATCAAATGATGAGAGCGAAGCCGCGAGTAAAAGCTAGTAACTCAAAGCCTTCATTGTTAAACAAATGACACTACTCTAAAATAAAAACAGACTTTCACCATCTCACCTTAGACAATTTCAATTCCTGTGCATCCTCGGTTCCAGGTTTATCTTCTAGGTCTTCATAATGTATCTTCTCTAATATTCTCTTCTTCTTGTCCGGTGCTTCTGTACTACTGTCTTCTGCCGTCCGCTTCTCTGCTACGCCATTCGATTCTTTGACACCGTTCTCAACAACTTTGTTGTTATTTGTCGTTTTACTACTAGTGTTATTATTATTATTACTAGAATTTGTTTTATGACTAGCTTTGAGCACCTGAAACGGTTGAAAGGGGATATAAGTGAAATTTTCTTAAACCTAATATACATAATCTATCGGGTTTGTTAGCTTAGGTGAATAATTGAAGATAGCCATTTTTACTAGAGCATAATTTAATCTGACTTTGGAACGAGTTTTTTGGAAAACACCTAAGGAATCTTTCTTCTTTAACATGGTTCGGTATAATAGTGCTAATGGTACTTAAAATTCAACTTAACTACCAAATAAACAGAAATACTTTTTCTTTACCCAATCTAAAAAGCACTCAAGAGTTATATTGACAAACCATAATGGAGTGTTGGTTGAACCGCTTGATCATGTTTCTGTGTATGGATGCGTTATCTCCTTTCTCCTTCTCTGGCGCTATTTCATCTTCTGTCGGTAGTAAGGGGATGTTTTCTGTGAACTGTGGGAGGTCGACCTGGAAGAATTTTTATTTTTATTACTACTGAGAATAAGGCGCTTTTACAATGTGGACTAACGATATCGTCAGAGTCGGAAAGAGCCAATAGATGCAAGTGGCGATTGTCCTTCGAAGTGGAGGACTAAGGCGTAAGTGTTTGTTCAGCGGTGGAAGTTTTTATGTGGACGGCAAACGAGCAGACGGATAACCTGATGGTAAGCAATCAGCGTCGCCCATGGACATTCATAGTACCAAAGGAGTTACTACAAATGCGTTGCCGGCTTCTTGTGGGTTGTTAGGGGGATGAATTGGGCCTCCGGTAACCTAACTCACATGGCGAAACACATTACTGTGGCTGTTTCACGCAAGTTTTCTTTGAGGCCGAGGTATCAAACCGGTCGAGCCGACCCATTCGGGCCAAAGTATCCCGCGCACTTATATCATGTAATGACTTACTATTGTGAATGAACTGACAAAAGCTCTACTAGTTTGAAGTCACAACGGGACTCTCATTCATGAAGGCGTGCCGTTGCGGCGATGTCGCGCTTTCAAATTAACATTTTAACATTATTTAGATTAGCAACTTACTGTGAGATCTAGTGTAGTGTGTTTCATAGCTGAGGCAATGGCTTGGTCATCTAATTTGGCACATTCTCCAAACAAATCTTTACTAGACGATGAGGCAATGCGGTCTCTGTAATAAATAAAAAGAGACTGATGAACTATATGCCACTTTTATTTAACTAACCAAAAAAACAAATGTAGCACATAGTTCATACAAATATCATACTGTAGATATTCAAATTCATTTGACACAGCGGTTATCCAGAAATTGTGTAACTGACCCTAATCTACAATAGATTTTATAGAATTAATTGAATGAGAGAATGTTAAAAATTTTACTTAAAACAGACTTCCTGTTTTTAGTCTAATTTTTGTAATTTAATGCAGAGAAAACTAATTGGCATATAACAGTAAAGCCGTGTGAAACTGGTTAGAGGAATTTATTATTCCGAAGTTTTCCAACATTACACACTGTTCCTAATTAAAACATTAGAACTAAAATAATACAGACAAATCTTTATACATAAACAAAATCAACTGACCTGTGAAAATAATGAGACTGAAAAAACTTTGTCCAAAACTCCGCTTCAGTCATTTTGTTGGGAACATAATCAACATGTTTCTTTCTGACGGCTGGATAAGTTTTAAATATAGCGTCTATTATATCTTGCGTAAGGTTGTATTTTAAACCGTTACAGCCGTCGGTTTGTGGCTGGATATCCGCTAAAAAAGCTCCGGACACACCTGTAAGGCAAAATAGGTTATAAACATTAAACTTTTTAGTCTGCAATGTGATGGAATTTGGTCGTATGAGTTTTTAATTTACTAGTGCGTAAGTCTAACATATTAAATAGAAATTTTAGGCTTTGATTGACAAATTTAAATATACTCAGTGGACATCAGGCTGTGATGTCCACTAAGTAATCAATATTCCATTTTTAGTTAACTTTAAACTTTACATAACCTGGACCAACCATCATCAAACTACTATCACAGCTTCATCTAAAGGTTGTCTGTTAAAAGTCGTCGGTTTTTGTCAGGGGAAAATGATCAAATGACTTCTCCCGCCAGGGTAAGGCAAGAGAGAGTGTCAGATTCTTACTGACTAAAAACCCCCCGTTCTTTTCCTGCTCTAGGCCGAGGCCGCGGTGACTCATTGCCCCGGATTCGTCTTGAACGCACATGTTTTGTATGCAGATGTTAAAAGGAGTTTAAGTCGAAAACATATTTAATAGTAACCAAATCAACTAGACAAGTTCAAAAGGAGAATCGTTAACATACCGGCCTCCTGCTTTATATTATTAGATTCCGTATATGTTTTTAATGTAGGTGTGTTCCAGTATTCTTCACTATTTATCACCTTCGATATCACCAAGTCTTCATATAAATGCTTCAATGTAGGATGTAAAGATAATAGTCTGAAAGATAAAGATTCTATTAACTATAACATACCTAATAAAGGTACGCACTTATGTAATACTTTTCATTTATATTTATTTTCAAAGATTTTTTTTTATTTCAGTACTAGTTGACCCCGCGAACTACCTTTTTTTAAACCTTTCCTGAACTTTAACGAATATTTCAAGACGAAAATTATCCAAAACGGACCACCCATTCTCGAGTTTTAGTAACAGCATTTCATTTTTATATGTAAAATATAATATGCTAGTGTGAAAATAGAAGTTTAAATAAATAATGATAGTGTCATTTCTAGAGAGTGAATCTGTTGCATTTTGCCTAATGAAGGTAACAATTATTTTTAAATACTGAGTTTTTTTATAGGAATTAATAAGGTTTCTAATCTTATTACCTTAAGAAAAATATTGCAACTGTTATAATGGTTTTAAATATTTATAGCCCACAATTTATGCCGCAGTGAACTAAGAATACAGATACATTTTTCAAAACATATTTGCATCACATTACAAACATTTCCATGCAATGTCAAGGAAAGGTTACCAAATGTTATTCTGCTATTATTAACGTGAACACTATCCACATTCTGAATTTGGCTCAGTTACAAGGCATGATTAAACAATATTCTCAAAAGAAAAAAGTAAACATCTGGAATCATTTATGAATTCTAATTTATGTTGGGTAAGAATGTACTCTTCATCATGGAGTAAAAATTGTGACTGTACAATAGGTAATTATGAAAACATAATATTTTTGTCTTTAGGATTTCATTATTACACATATTTTGCACTATGCTCACTTCTAAACATATGCCAGTCAAGGAGTTCCAGACTTTTTTACTGATAGACCCATGAAATAACCTAGACCCCAGAAGCAGTTAATACCTACTAATATTATGATATGAAGTTGAAGAGTTAATTTGACTGAACGAGCAAAACGGCTTTAAGCCATAAACCATCAGGCTACATCTAACAGAAGCAAGCCGCAGGTGTAACAGTAGATAGTTTTAACCATAAAATCTGAAATCGCTTACTTTGACTTCATCTCCAGCTCTTCATCAATCTGTCTCTTAAACTTTGGCAGTAAGTTTTGCAACAACATCTTAACCTGGTCCCTGTCCTTAGCTTGGGCTTCTGCACCAGCAGGGTTGACGAAGTGGAAAGTAGAACATGTCCCATCATGTAATACCACTTGTAATTGAACTTTTGCTTTACCTGCTGGAGATATTTTTTGTGCTGAAATGAAAAAAAAAGCATAGTTAAAAAAACATTATAAACCTCAATTTTGAAGAACCATTCATAGATTCTACAGGTAAGTGTTTAAACAGCTTGACTGCTGACAAAAACTGTTTCCTTTTTTTTCTTTTCCTTTCCAACCAGACCAAACAATTTCTATATGGATGTAGAAACAGTTGGACAGACAGATATAACAAATCTATATAGGACCTGTTTTTTGCCATAAGGTACTTAGTATTTTACAAAGTACAAAAATAGATCTAGAGACAGTAATTTGTCTCAGTTTCTTAATAACAAGTTATTGTGGTGGTAGATCTATCAAGGCACATTCCAAAGAGAATTGACAGCTCCAAAACAAAGAAATTATAACTTTACATTATAAACTACAATATATGGAGGGAATTGATTAACAAATGCAATAAAAAGTTTGATAGATTGTTATGGTGCAGTGAAATCGAAAATAGATTACAAAATATTAATCTTTACATAATTTTTATGACCAAGCATTACTTTGACCTTCATACTAAAATAACATAATTTATGATGTAAAATCAGTTCTAATATATAAAAAAGTTCTTTAATTGGAGAGTGCCAAAGTTATTTTAACGTTACTGCAATCAGATCTCAGTTAGGTTTGATAACTTGTTGTAGATCATGGGAGCACCAACCCTCATAAGTATGTGAGATGTTGCTATTATTACTGAATAAAAAGAATTATTGGATCCATCATTCTACTGAGATTAAAGATAAGGGTTGATATATTATTACAGATCTTATATATTATACATGATAATACATATAATCTATTGATATATTTTATTTAAAACATTATAAAACTGAAGAGTTTCTTCTACAATATTTCAGATCAATCTATAACTTTGTTTGAGCTGGTTTAACCTAACTCAAAAAACTGAAACAACTTGTGAAAACTAAAAGAAATATTTAAAATTTAATGAGGAAACCCAATGACTAAAAAGTATCACACTATGATGGATTGGAACCATGAAGCAAGGGACATGGCGGAGGAGCGTCAAGTATTTCATATTACAAATTGCAAAAATATTCCATTTAATATTATTCATCTGAAGTAAAATCACCAAAGATAGCATAAATCCCCATATACTATTAGATTGATTCATATATAACCATGTACGGTTTCTGAAACATTTTAAGCAGACAAAAAGCTATCTAAGTTTTAAAATATCAAATAATACAATGTAATAAACCAACAGATATAACACACGATACTATTGACATTGTAAAGTATTAATTGAATGTATAGTGTCTATAACATGTTAAGTATAAGTACGAGTAGTATGATGCAAAGACATCTCAAAAGTGTAGAATAACAATTTCTGTAATGTGACACTTGCCAAGTGATATACAAACAGTTTTGTCTTTACATATTCATCTATAAATGCTACATGGACAACAATTCATATGTATAAGGCATAACTTTTTATTATATTTCCTTCATCAGTGATATGTTACATTAGAAGAGGTATATTGAGGTTTGCATTACTTACTTTTGATATCAGCATATTTATGTGATACAGCAACTGTATCTCTGTTTTCCAACATCCAGGCTAACCTTTGGTTCATAACATACAAAGTGCCATCACCCTTCTTGAACCTCACGTAGCTAACGCTGAGCAAGACGTCCTCGGAAGAGGTAGTCATCTTCAATATTCACCGCTCCACCCACAAAACCCACAGAATTATCATCAAAAAGTTATTTAAAAAGACAAAACTCAGCTTCCAAGTCTTCCAATAGCTACGTGAAATTTTTTCTTTAATATAAACGACTCTTCATATTGTCTGGCAGTATTTTGGGTACGAGTTTATGAAATTATCGTACTTATCCGAGTTTCAACGTTTATCTCAAGTATAAAAACGAAGAATTAGGATATTCTATCTACAAAAACCATATCACAGTCCGTCGACCATTAGAGGATTTGACAAACTGTCAGGTTATTTTTTTTTTAATTGACTTCAAGTTTCAACCTGTTCAGAGTATTTTAGCGAAAACCATAAAAACCACGTGGGAGATGGCAGCACCAAAACTCACAAAAGTTATTTTTATTTATGTACTAAAAGAAAATTTTAAGGTGCAACAGCGTTTAAACACGTTTACATACTCTATGTTTAAACAGGTTTCTAAATACATATAGACATAATTGATTGGGTTTTATAAAATAATGTTGTGAATTAGTCAGCTAGATACTTCACTATTATGTAGTGAATCATGCTCCTGTGCACTTGAAAAATATATTTAAGCACTCATTTTCCACCAGTTATTTTTAAAATATATAAGACAAATAGTAAAATTAAAGTATAGAAGTATGCAAGTAAAGCCTTCTGCCAACAAGTTGACCAAGTCGAACGCTGAGACATAATTTTTTAACTAAATTAAAAACAAAAATATTTTTATTTGTATGTTTCGTTCGTGATCTAATGTTTTTTTTTTATGTAATAGGTCGGCAAACGAGCAGACGGATTACCTGATGGTAAGCAATCAGCGCCGCCGCCGCCCATGGACACCCACAACGGAGGAGTTACGAGTGCGTTGCTGACCTTTTAGGGATTAGGGATTTGGAGATTTAGGGATTGGGGGAGGGGAAGTATTGGGCTTCCAGTAACCTCACTCACACGGCGAAACAGAACGCTGTGGTTCGGTTCACACCGGTCGAGCCGACCCATTCGTGCCGAAGCATGGCTCTCCCACACTTAAAATTTCAACACTGTTCAAACGATGTGTATTTTTAAAACTGTTCAAACGATCTCAGAGTGTTATTTAAATATTTCTATACTCAATAATAATAATTTGTAATCTACACAAAATATACAATTACATTAATTTAATGGTTTATATTACTTAAATGACTCAATGATAGTAAAAGAATGTCGACTGCCTGAAACGCATTTAAGTAAATAAATATGAATTTATTAATTTTTATAAAACAACTTGCATTTCTTAGAGAAAGGGGGAAAAGCAAAACATTCCTGGAACAGTATCCATCCTTCTTGGGGTGGTAAGCCTAAAATATCGGACGAGAAAATTAGTGTTTTACATGAACGTAACTATAATATACCGCCTTAAAAATATTTTAGCGCAGCAACACTCAGCATTGACAACCCAAAATGCAATCATGGCGCACGGGGCACTGTGTTTTTAGAATGCTGAGAAGTTTTTACGTAAACACTTCGTTATTTTGCATTGTAAACGATTTATGTGTTTTTATAAATTATCCTTGAGTTTTTAAGATCGTAGTGAAGCATACATGTGTGTTCCAAACTTGAAATTTTCACCCATTCGGAATCACGACTCTGTACTACTAGACACTTGCAGGTATAAAAATCATGAGATTTGCTGTTTCAGGAGTCCTAACGTTCGTAACATGGTTCTTTATTAATGTAAACATGATGAATACGTCAAATTATATGTTTGTTATTCAATTAATAGCGAACTATCGTAGTAAATGAGATATATTCGTTTGTTCCAGATAACTTGTTGGTGTCATAATGTCAGAGGCGTACGCCCGTGAGATACTGCGAAGGAATGTTGCGCAAATATGCCAAACTATTGGATGGAATGGAATAAACTCAACTCCACTGGACATTTTGGTGCATGTGCTGGAGAAGTACATAAGGTCACTTGGGACTCAAGCCAATAGATACGCCGAACAATTTAATAGGACTGAACCAAACCTGCATGACCTAGGATTAGTATTTCGTGACCTACACATTAATTTACCAGAGTTGACAGAGTACACAAGGTGCGTCCCCCCTGTGCCACCGCCTGTAACCTCTGAAAAGTTTCCTAAGCCTAAGGAATCAAATTTGAACTTTCTCAAACCTGGTAGTCATGAAGTGGTTACAAGACCTATGCATGTGCATGAGCACCTACCACCAATGTACCCAGAGAAAGAACGGGACACTCCAGTTGTGGCAGGAACTGTTGAAATCCGTCAGAATGGCATTGATAATGTTGAAAATAGTAATGCAACATGTACAAGTCCAGAAATTTCAGTCACTGATAGTCCAGATAAAAACAAGGAAATCTTTAAGAGACCCACTGATCCAGTTTCGTTACCAAACAGTAAAAGACCAAGGTTACGTTTGGATGAAGAGGAAAGGACCAGAGAGATCAGCAGTGTGATGATGACCATGTCAGGATTCCTGTCACCGGCACGTGAGGGTAAACTGCCTGAGGCTCGGCCACCAGCCGTTATGTCAGAAAAGCAGTTTGATAAACATAAAGTAAATTCACATCATTCTAATGTAATAAAAGCACCAATAGTAGAGAAAAGTGATAAAAAATCTAAGAAAAATAAGTTATTGAATGGAAAAGTTATGAAAAGTAAAAGAAAAGATAAGAGCCATAAAGGTGAGGGTAGTAAATCTAAGGATAGTAGTAAATTGAATAAGTTTCCACCAGGTTATCCAATTAAAAATAAGGATGTTCATCCTACACATCATAATCATGTCACCATGCCAGCGCCCAAAGCTGCTCCTCCACCACCACAGCCATCCAGATCTGTGATGCCACCTCCAGCTCCGGTAGTGGAACCCATTCGGCCTGTTCCTCATATCAAGCAGGAACCTGTTGAACAGCCACTACAGACATCACCAGTTATGTCTAAAAACTCAGCTCTGATTGAAGATGCAATTCCTGTACCAAGGAAAATACCAATATCAAAATCTCCACTTGTTGCTAATTCTGTTCCTGTACCCAAATCACAACCTTCCACAAATTCCTTTGTACCAGAAGTGCAAATAAAGAAAGAAATAATTGATGAGGAAGAAAAATTGGCCTCTCAACCAGATAGATCAAAGATAAATATATTTAAAAGGATATCGAACAAATCGAAAGAAGATAAAGTCACTCCAGAGGTTGTTCATGAAAAGTTACAGTCTGATCCAATGATCTCAAGGTTACACAACTCTCCACATGATAATGCAAGTGAAAGTAGACCCCAAGACCATGTTAGAGTGAAAATTGAAGAGCCCATTGTGAACAATAATGATAATAGTGCTGTTGATTTGTCTAAGGTTATGGACTTGAGGACTGATGAAGTGATAAATATTGATGATGATTCTGTAGATGTGCATCCTATGGTGTCAAAAGCCCCACAACCAGAACATCGTCCTAGTATATCAATTAATAAATCTCTGCAGGTACCCTATCCCAAAGATATAGCTAGTGTCAGTCCAAAAATTAAAAAAGAAAAGAAACACAAGGACAAGAAAGATAAAGCTGCAAAACTTGAAGCAAAGTTATTAAAGAAACAACAACAAATAGCATTTGAGATAGCCCAAGCTGAAAAGCAAAGTATGAAAATGAGTGGTGTCAAACCACCTAAATCAAGTAGGCCAAAGAATGAATCAAAGCTGCCACAAATGCCACCTGGTTTTCCCTTCTTCCCTCCTGGAATGACTCCAGGACGAGGTTTGATGCCTGGGCCAGGCTTAATACCCACACCTGGGTTAATACCTAATAATGACTTTTTAGCTGAATTGGCTAATAATCCAGCACTGAGAGGGTTGCCAGCCTCAAATATGCTCACCAATCCATTTGCATTAGGTGCTGGTGGGCCTGGCTTAATTCCTGGACCTAGTTTTTTGCCTGGTGGTCTAAACCCTGGTATACGAAATCCACTCATCCCTATGAGTACCTTTCCTCACACATCTAGATCTTCCCCTATGAAAATACCGTCAATGTTACGTCGTCGTCCTAGCTTAGAAGTAATTCCTGTTGATAATAATGATGACGACAGAGGCATGCATAAATCAATGATGGGCAGAGACAAGGACAGACACGACAAGCACAAATCTCAAACCATTCCAAACATTTTACAGAAACATAAATCCAAGTCACATAAAGATCATAAATCAAATATGTTTAAAATGCCTCCAGTAACACCAGACATAACAATAGAATTAAATCCTCCAAAGATGGACCCTGTAAGACAAGAGCCGCCTAGGCAGTCTCCTATCCCGCCTCGTTTGCCGACACCAGAGCCGATTGTTGAAAAGAAACCTGAACCGGTGCCAGAACCTATCAGAGAATCGTCACCGGAAATTCCGCAGGAAAAAGAAATAGAAAGCACAGAAAAGAAAAAAGATAAATCACACAAAAAGGAGAAGAAGGATAAAGATAAAGATGGCATAAAAATCAAGAAGAAAAAAGATAAAAAGGACAAGAACAAAGATAAGTCAGATAAGAAAAGGGAAAAAGAAGAGAGGCAAGAGTTAAAAGAAAAAATTAAAAAAGAAAAGAAGGAAAAAAAGAAAGAAAAGCAAGCAGATGGCTTAGTTCCGAAGCTCACGCTTAAACTAAGTTCGTCTAATTCGAATTCACCAATGCCACCAAGTTCACCAGATCTATACAAGTTGAATATTAAACCGGTAATGAAAAAGGATGACGAGGACGAGGATTCACCTATGAAAGAAGAGCCTCTATCCAGAGAGCATAGTCGCTCTCCAGAACTCGCGCAAATATCTGCTCTAGTAACGAGGCCACCAAAACAAAAACATTCAAAACACAACCACATTGCAGATATCGAAGGTCACTCCTCTTCCCCGCCCTCTGGGAGCTCGCCTCCACGGAAGAGCACTCCATCATCCTCATCTAAATATAAGAGGATATTAATAAAACCATTGAGTAAGAAAGGTCATGTTGAACACTTTGATGATGATGTTGCATCGATTTCTGAGGAACCTGCGCCAGCCCCCGCACCGCCACCCCCCGCGCCTGTTGATAAACCAGCAGGTCCGTTACCCACACCATATTACGTAGATGAGTGCGGCAATAAGATTTGGGTATGCCCTGCATGCGGTCGGCCGGACAATGGCTCGCCCATGATTGGTTGTGACGGCTGCGATGGCTGGTACCACTGGGTTTGTGTTGGTATCACCGAAGAACCCGGCGCAACAGAAGACTGGTTCTGTAAGTCGTGTCTCGCGAAACGCGCCGCAATGGCGCTAGCAGGTGTAACTTCCGCTGGTAAAAAGAGGGGCCGAAAACCCAAAGGGGAAAAAATTAGAGACTGTCATTGATTGGACCTTTTGTTGTTAATGAGATTAGTGATAATTTTCCGTTCGATAGATACGAGTAAAAGGATGCTGAAAGTTGTTAATGAATTAATTGTTGAATGATATCATGAAGAAAAATGTTTTTCATCATTTATAATGTTATATCATAGGCTTCAATTAAGTATAGATAATAATGAATATTGACATAAAATGTTGAACATAAAAATAGTGTAGTTACTTGTAATAATTACCATAATTTTAAATATTTTGTTACGATTTCTCTTTATTTCTCGTTCGCTCGGTTAGATCAAGCTGTAATGCGATGGCGGGCGTGTTATACACTTCTCGCGTGTAAACATAGATGATAATATAAGATTCTTTTTATATTGTACAAAAACTGAATTTACTTAAGAAATTGGTGATGTATAAAGTAAATGTAGTGAATATTTAAATAAACAGAAATAAGGCTGGATGAATTTTCAGCTAATATTTGAATATTTTCATATTATAATTTTAATATAACCCTGTTTTTTTTTTGTTGAAGTTGTTCCTTCAATTTTTGTACAGAGCAGGCACTGTCGCACAGTTTTCCTTGTTGGACGTTCTTGTAATGAAATGCAAAGGAATATTGTTTCGCGTGCGAGAGTGCCTGCTCTATTGCATTCGACTTACTTGGAGGGGAGGCAAATGTAAATTTTTAATTTCAGCCAGTGGCCAATTAAATATATTGGTACTCGAATTGTAGTAAGTTATTTTAATATTTTAACAAAATAAGTGATATAATATTATCGTCCTAACTAACAATACCTACCTGTTTCCACATTCCACCTCCTTCAATTCGTGATGCAATCTACGAATGGCGGCAAAATGTAGCTTATTCGAGCACAATGCCTAGTACATAAACATGTGTCATTAGTATTTCCCGCCTGTTTTAATACGCTTTTAACCAATCAGACTGTAGACGATTTGCCGCCAAATATTATCTTTGTCTACACGCCGATTTTAACAGTCTGTTACGCCGATTACGTTTGTAAATTACAATTAAAAGAATAGATTTATAACGCGATAAAACTGTAAACACGGCGCATAAGAAAGCTTTACGCTATTGCACCATTCATCTACCATGATATCAACCAAGGTCAGACGCATTGCATGATAGCATATACTCTCAACAGTTAGTTACAAGTACCAATTCGTAGGTACGCATGTCAATTAAGTAGATACGTACTAGTACAGAGTGTACAAGTACGTTATTCGTATAAAAATATTTACACCGCCTAAACATAATGAACGGTCAGTGGGTCGTCTTAGGGGCGGAGAACATTTATTTGCCTATAGGTATGCTATAATGGAGGTAGGTAGGTACCTAAATCCCTATGTACTTACATGCACGGAGTTCCCTAGTGTATTCGCCGCCTTTTAGTTTGTTTTTCTCTAAACTTTTATTTATTTTAGATAATCTTGAAAAGTAACTTAATTTATTCGTTCATTTCCGGGATCTTCTAACTTATAGAAATATCTGATGTTTACAATTTATTGCAAATAATCTCTCGACTCGCGCGGTTTTACCAGCGCTGCTCGGCTCTATTTGATCGTAGCGTAATGTTTTATAACCTAGCCTTCCTCGATAAATGGGCCATAATTCGAGAATTAGCGCGTTCAAACAAATTAACTCTACAGCTTATAAGATTAGTCTATTAGTTCCCAAATCATTGAAAATAACGAATTATTTAAGAACTCACTCACATAAAATTAACTTAGGATAGGCAATCAACTGCGCTACGCGCACATTGCTCATGAATAACAGTCCCGCTGTGACTTGAAACAAGCAGAGCTTTTCTCTTCGTGAATTTATCACGTGAGTAACTCGGTTATTTTTGCATTAAGTTTAATATGTCTAAGAAAAGTATTTATAAAATCAGGTTCTAAGTAGGTACCTATATCAAAAGTTTATTAGAGCGAGATAGATAGGTACCTACTGCAATTTAATGGAGAATATGAATGTTCGTCACGCCTTTTTAAAATTAAAAGGCTAATCTGAGGCATACGTACCTACAGTTTGTTATAGGTAAGTACAGAGCTACATACATATTTTTATCAAGTACTTACAGCCTATTGGGTGTCGGGGTATTTTTTAGTCAGCAAGAGACTGACTAAAAACTCAGAAAACAACACCGCCAAGCGGTCAGTTTATTCGAAAAACCATATAATATCAATAACTAGCTTCTGGCAGTAGTCCTGACTACGTTTCCAGGATATAAGTATGTATTGATATGTGTTATTGCGGACTTAATCTATCTCGGTAGATATCGATCAAATTTCATTCAAATCTATCCAGTAGTATAACATAGGGATACCTTTTTAAGTATTACACAAACATCCACTTGACTGTACTTATAAACTTTTTTAAAAGAAAAACGTTGCACCACTTTTTGATTTTCTCCTGCGTCGTGGCTGCGGTTACAAACACACAATTTCACATACACATGACAATTTGTGGATCACATATAGTTATTTCCGTGCGGGATTCGAACCGGCGACACGTTGCACAGCCGCCAGTTGCCTAGCCACCGCGCCAACCGTGCAGTCAAACGGTTTGTAATATTTCGCGTTTATAATATTAATTAGTAGGATTCCTTAGGGCAAAAAAAGGGAATTAAGAAAAAAAAATATGTTCAACATAAAAATCTATTGTTACAAATCAACAGCAGTTATCACTCATTCAACTAAAGTTTTAACGTATAGTCAAAAAAGATGATAATACAATTTATTCCTAAGTTTTATTTTAAATCAGTTTACAAAGCGCTCACAATTACTAAATGTCTAATAATCGCATCAACAATAATTTATTCTCAAATAATTTACATCATTATGTGTTATGTAAGTAAGTAAATAGACTATGCTCGATAGTTGATTCCTGGTCACAACTAAAACCGACATTAGTAAAAAAATAATTAAAATGACACTGGCAGACTGGAATTTGTTTATTGTACAAAACATTAACAGCGAAGAAGCTATACAAAATGTTTAACACATTTGATTATTGGTTAGTGTTAGTTTCAATCATCTCTAATGCCTTCACTTTGTGTGCAAACATAACAGATGAAAGTAAATGCTGATACCTTTCCCAGATAATCATTTCGTTCTCAGGACTACAAAAAACAAATCTAAGTCACCGTCTAACGTTCACAGACGCTAGATGTAGTAAAGAAAATACCTTTACATCTTAAAGGTACTAAAAATATTTTCACGTAAAACTGACTACCTCAAACTACAACATAAAGGCTTAATGTTATTACTTGGTTGGCGAAGGTGGTTTTTGCGACGTCTGTTTTAAACTTTCTGGAGGTGGTACTATTGTTTTCTCTTTGTTCCATTCCTTGAGACCTTCGGGCAATGACGTGTCTTCATCTAAGGATCCCGTGCCTTCCACAAACTCTTCGTAAGTGCTCTTTTCTGGGAACGGTCTCTTTCCAAGCAGTTCAATCATGTCCTCTCTACTTAAAATCTCTTGTTTTAGCAATCTTTCTGCAACTTTAGCAATGTTGTCCTTATGTTTCAATAATAAATCAGTTGTAAACACATGAGCGGCATTTATCAATTCTCTTACTTCGGAATCAATTAACTCTGCGGTCTTTTCCGAATATGGTTTATCGATTACCATTTCGCCAGGTTGAGGCATTTCGAACGACACATTGCCTACTTTAGGGTTCATACCGTAGTGGACTATTTGTGCGTAGGCGCTTTGTGTTATTTTCTTCAGGTCATCTTGGGCACCTGTTGTTATTCTGTTGAAGAAGATTTCTTCACTGACTCTTCCACCGAGTGTCATACACATTCTGTCAAAAAGTTGTTCTTTGCTGTAGAGGTATTGTTCTTTTGGTAGGTACTGAGCGTATCCGAGCCCTTTGCCTCTGGGGATGATGGATACTTTGAGCAGAGGATCAGCGTGTTGTAGGAACCAGCCGGCGACTGCGTGGCCTGCCTCGTGGTATGCCACAATCTTTCTCTCATCAGGTTGGAGGACGTTGGATTTCTTTTCCATGCCTGCGACGACCCTCTCGATGGCTTGCTCGAAGTTTTTCATGGTGATGTCATTAGCCAGCTCACGAGCAGCGATAAGGGCGGCTTCGTTGCAGACGTTTGCGATATCAGCGCCTGTGAAACCTGGAAAACAATAGAAAAAAGATTTACTGACAGTAGCACAATGTACTTCCCTGTAACAGAACAAAAATTCTGGAATTATGACTAGGTATATGATAAAGAGGACATTCTAAAAAAGAAAAGGTGTGGCGGTGTTTTTAAATGGCGATTGTTACAAAATGGACACTAGAAATCGAGGGCTACAATATCTTTCATTATTTACGCTTTGTCATAGCATGACAGTGCGTTAAATGTTCAATCCAATTAGTAGGAATGAGGCTCGATAAGCCCAAAAACTGTAGATACAAAATATGGTGTACTAAAGACATTTGGAATTATTACGATGGATAAAGGTTTTTGTCAGAGGGATATGTCTCGCATAGTTTGGGCATCTACACCACACATTGCCATATATTTTTGTCGCAAACACTCACTATTACCTACACCCAGTATTACAAGCTAATTTCTATTATGTAGGATTTCATATCCCTTACGAGTTACGTACATTTCTACGTTTATGTTAAAGTATAATTATGTAGCAAATTTAAAGTGCTAATCGACATATATCAGAATGAATCGCAATTTCCCTTAATCATGGCATCACGCGCGAACATCTATACCGATGTGGATAATTCTTTTCATGTTGTGTTTGTGCTTGTAGAAGATTGTTATAAAAGAATTTTTGTTGAAAAATACATCAAATTCGTCGTAGCGGTTCGCTAATAAAACAAAAATTAATGACATCGATTGAGTTGGACATCCGTGTGGGGAAAGGGCGGGCCGCTAGTACTGTCTATTTCATGAAGAACCCCTGCACACGACCATTTTTAACGCATCAATGAAGCGATATCACGAATGCACACGAACTCACACGATGATTTGTTGATTTGTATCATGGTTGAAAAATATCGTGTGTAAATGTCCAATAATAATAGTGTGAATAAGTGATACATATACTTTTTAAGTAGAGTTAGGTTTAGAAATATAATATGCCAAATATACATATTATTATACCAAGGTACATAAGTTGAGTAAAATATTAAGGTTGTAAATTGAATAATAAATTCTCATGAATGTAATGTAAACACACAAAAACAGCAAAAAAACTGGATGGTTGTTCTGCATTATTTTAGTAGTCAATGAGACTAAAAAAATAAACTGTATAATATTATTCTAGTCAGGTAAGAGTAAACCATTTAACATAGTAATTCATCTATTCATTAATTTTTTTTGGTGTCATAACTTTCTGGATATCTTATCATCATCATCATCATCAGCATATAATGGCCCACTGCAGAGGTTTGAGCAGTAATCACCTGTAGGTCAGTGATGTCTTAATAATCTTAGAAAGTAAATATAACTCGGAAAAGGTTGGTAAGTCACGGTCAGTCAGTCATTAAATTGATAATGTGTTCTGTACCACCAATACAACAGTACCAGTAAAAAATGTGACAACATGATAACATAATTACCTGGTGTGAGAGCAGCCATCTTTCTAGCCAACTTCTCCTTATCAATGGTAGTTTTCAAAGGTGTCAAATGAACTTTGAAGATTGAAGCTCTACCCTTAATGTCAGGAGCAGGCACAAATATCTGCCTGTCAAATCTACCAGGTCTTAACAAAGCTTTGTCCAGGATATCTACTCTGTTTGTTGCAGCCAATACTACAACATTTGTAGTTGTATTAAAACCATCCATTTCCACCAAAAGTTGGTTCAAGGTATTCTCTTGTTCCGAATGACCTCCAAAGCTGCGCCCTCCTCTTTTCCTACCCACAGCATCAATTTCATCAATGAAAAGAATGCATGGTGCATGTTTACGAGCCATGGCAAACATGTCACGAACTCTGGAAGGTCCAACACCAACAAACATTTCCAAGAACTCTGATCCTGAGACTGTGATGAAGGGCACATTTGCTTCTCCTGCAGTAGCTTTGGCTAGCAATGTTTTACCAGTACCGGGAGGGCCAGTGAGTAAGGCACCCTTAGGGATCTTGGCTCCCAAGTCAATATATTGCTGAGGATTTTTTAAGAAGTTCACAAACTCCATAATCTCAATCTTAGCTTCTTCACACCCAGCAACATCTTGGAACTTAACACCAATATCAGTTGGATTAATTAGTTTAGCAGTTGATTCCATTACACCACCAAAGAGTCCACCACCTCTTCTGCCTCCACGTCCCATCATATCTGCTGATCTTCTCATCATGTAAATTAAAAACCCTATAATAAGTATGGTTGGCAGCATTCCTGTTAAACTTGAAGCCTCTACTTCAGTTTTATAGATAACAGGCAAGAAGTTTGGAGGTTCCACACTCATTTCAATTTGTGCATTTTCTAAATTTCTCTCGAATGAGTCTACACTTCCAATTGCAAACCAGATTACCTTTCCATCGAGAGCTGCCCCTGGATGTAGTTTTACTCTCACCCACTTTTTGTTAATAACTTCTAGTTTTTCAACATTACCTTTTTGTAGGTATAGGTTAACAAAGTCTCGCCAGCTGATTTCCCTGTAACGCAGCTCAAAGTATGCGATGGATGCCAATATCCCTACAATACCCATTGCACCAAACAGCATCCACTTTTCTTTGTCCTGCCCTTCGTAACCACCGCGGTTGCCACCACTGCTGGAGTTACTGAACATGTTCATGTTCCATTTGTCTTGTGGCGATGATGGTTTAGGAGACGGCTGTGCACCTTTCGAGGGGGCAGGTGGTGCTTCTTTTTCACCCGGAGTTTTAGGTTTTTGACTAGAACCTGGCTGAAAATACTTCTCAAAGCCTTTAGGTGGTTTTTTGCAGAATTCGTACCACTGGTTCAGAACAGAATCTAAAGCTGGAACTCCGACTGCATGAAATTTCGGTCCATTATGATGAAATTTTGTTAACTGAATTAGTTGAGAATGTGTTAATCTCAATCCTTTCCACATTTTGCTGCGCTTTTATTTCTATCTATTTACAGGTATAATTGTTTTCTACTTTTATTGCACAATTATTTATGAAACGGGATCACAAAATACTATCAAGAAATATCGTGACAAACATGGTTAGAAAATCCGTCAAATTCCAACTGTCAATTGTCAATGTAGGGAATAAAGACCTCTATACACGATGAATGAAACTGATTTAACATAGCAAATATTGTATGAAGATATATTTTTGTGAAAATGTTCTTTATAAAATGTGTTTTGCAAAAATTATAATGACTGTGAATCACGTTTAGGTTACTTTATGAAGCGTTCTTAATATTTTTTTAACATTTTTGACATTAGCAAGAAGATTTGTTGTCTTGACGTTTAGTCTGTTGAAGTGTTGAGTGAAAGCTTAGATTATAATACAAAATGAACGAGTGTCTATAGATTACAGAAGACTAATTTCAACTTTTAATAAAAGTAAAACCTCGTATGGTCTAGTTAACATTTTCCTCTGTTAGATTTCTTTAGTTTGCTAATTACTTATTTCTTTGGTAAATCCGTTAGGTCCACTAACTTCCTACATGGAATACCTGACGTCATACAAGTAGTGGCACCTTTTTTCAACAAGTAGGGACGCCCGCTTTCACACAAGACAAGTATCCTCAAGTAGAGTTAGTCGAGTTACTATTTTTTTTTTATTAAGGTTCCGTAGTTTTCTAGGAATAAACAGCGTTCCATATTCCTAGCCCACTAGCGAAGCCAATTGCAGCGACCCCATAGCGGCTCTCCGACTTTTTATAGCCGTTGAAGTTGATACCGTGTAACATTATGTATATACTCACTTATTCACCAGAAAACTCTTCATTAATTAAATTATGATTCTGTGTAGTGATAAATTCACCAGACACACATATTTAGTAGTGGGAGAGCCATGCTTCGGCGAGAATGGTCCAGCTCGACCGAAGTGATATTACGGCCTCACACGTACGTCACGTTTTGCCGTGTAAGTGAATTTTCAGGATGCAAATCTCCCACCCACCCCTTCGTCGACACCTAAATCTCCTATCCTCAAATCCACAATACACTGGCAACGCACCCTGTATAAGCAGTAACAACTTATCTATGGGCGGCGCCATTTGCTTACCATCAGGTTACCATCATTTGCGTACCTGACTTACTGACTAAAAACCACCTCATTCCTTCATCAATTTAATTAGGTATTTCATTTTCAATTTGTAGATGAAATTCAGTGTAATTTACACTGAATTTTTTTACGTAGTTTTTTTCTGAACGTTAAACATATGTTATCTGCTATCATTTCTGAACGACACATCAGACATTTTCATTTCGTAGGTAAATAAATGAGATTCATCAATATTGCATTATTTCTTCGTAACAACTGTTCACTAAACATCTGAAGTTAAAAAATATATACACTTTTTACACTTTTTAAGTAACAATTTTGTGAATTGTGTCAATAGCGTTGCATAAAGGCGTTCAAATTTGAGAGTGAAATTAGACAAGTTATGGATCAAGACAAGCCAGAAAGCAGTTCAAATACTTCAAATCCCGGAAAGAGGACACGACCTTTGCTACTCCAACCAAGTCCAAAGATTGCTAGAATATCAGCGTACGCAAGTTCAACTTCTAGCGGGGTGTTGAAGAACTCCAAAAAGTTTGGCCCTCATTCTCCTAAGAGAGCTAAAGTATCGTATAATAAAAGTGATGTGCCACCTCCAGGTACTCCTGTGCCTGATAAATACGTTCGTAAGGCTGGACCTTACCTACTGGGGCCTAAAGTTGGCCCCAGTCCAGTTAAAAGCATAGTGCAGTGTTTAGCAAGGAAAGAGAGAACTGATGAGTTCTATCAGGTAAGAAGTGTTTCATTTCTATTTGTAAACATTGGAAACATAATAATATTACTTCTGGCTATATTGACATCAAGTTTAGTGTAATTGTATTGTAGTGTATCTTCAGTACCTTTATTCCTTGTTTATTCATTGAACAAGATTTTTATTATAAATAGGTATAAATTGTTATTTATGAATACTCAACTACCTATTTACTTCATCTTAACAGCCATTACACATTTAAATTTATATTGAGTTAACATTGTTGATAAGCAGTAATGAGGTTAATTACTAGACAGTGAAACTTTTTGCACATATGAAAAAAGATTAAAATGATGAATGATGCAACAGTTCTGTGGTATAACAGAGTTTAGCAGTTTATTTATTTCGGTATTTTGTGTAATTCTGATGAAACTGGATAATTTAGTTACTAAACTACTTTCCTTGTTGTTAATGTACTGATGGACACCATTAATTTTATTATTAAATATTAAATTGTTCATATAATTCATGATTATTTCAGAATTATAATTTTTAAACATAATATTGATTTAATGTTTAAATTTAATGCCATGTTAACACAGGATTTGCCCTCAACTGCCATTACTTAACCAATATCTTTTTTTTTAGAAAAAGATAACTCTTTTTTTATTTTACTCAAAAAAAGATTTTAGTTTTTTATTTTTCTATTGAATAAGCTTTGATTTTTTTTGGAATGCTGGAGTAATTAACACGAAAAGCAACTACAGTTGCAAGTTGCTTCTGACCTTCTAAATTCTATGCTAGTGATATCACAATAGCAAAGTCTTCCTCTCCTTTCATATAATATAAAATATTAGTATGTTTAACAAAATGTGACTTTATACATTTTTGAATGCAAAGTTATGCATGACAAATAAATGAGACAAAGAGACATGCACATACATGAATAATTACAAATATTGTGCAAGATTACACTCATTTGACTTGCATCATAATTTTATTAGATCATAAAACTGTTAATTATCTTAATCTGACATACTGGAAAATGCATAAAATCTTTTTGTTATTTCTATTAAGCATTAAATCAACTTCATGCATAAAACACTGTGCAAAGGCGGACATAACGCAATAAGCATTTTCTTCCAGTAATATTCTATTTTAACAAGAATTTAAATCTATTATAAGCCAAGGGATAACAGTAAAAAGGTGCTATTTTCCTTATATACATACCTAATTTTAGATTTGACTTTTGCCTTCAGTGTAACTGAATTCTTCATTAGTCATTTAATATTGTTCAACAACCAAACAATGTGTCCCAGTCCTGATTCTTAAGACAGACAAAAATCCCTTTAGACCATAAGGTCTTGTGATTAAGAAGTGGGAGTTCTAACCATTTATATTATGTAATCTATAAATCACTGTTTTCAGGTGAAGATCTTAACCTTACGGAATGAAGGTCAACCTGAGACGCAAGATGATAGACAGGGCAAGATGCTGTTGCATACAGAGTATTCCTTGCTATCTTTACTGAAGGACCAGGATGGTGTTATTCATCATCACGGTTTGTTCAAGGTTGGTGTTTAAGTTATAAAAATATTATCCTAGTTAATATATTAAATTTTGTGAGAATATATTTTTGATTTATCTTTCTTATTCTTTTATGCAAAAACTGCTGGACTGATTTGATTGAAATTTGGAATGTAGATAAGTGATATACAGGCTTCTTTTAATCAACATACCATACAGCTGAAGCTGTGCGCAGAAACTAGTCTACTATATAAATTAATCCCAGTTTCTCTTAGTCATAGCATTAAGCATGACTAGACAGATAATGCTGTGTTTTATCAGGTTGTGTTATGGTCAGGAGAAGGTTCTTACTTGTAAAAGAAAACTTTAGAATACTAAGGGAGATAATAAATCACTATCAAAACAAATAACCCTGCTTGTTAACAATATTTTTTTCCATTTCATCCACAGGACTATGCCTTAGAAGAAGTTCCGAATCCCAATGGCAATGGATATATCTACACGGGTCGCGTCCGTCAGCGGTTGTTCCTTGTGCTAGACTGTGTCAGTTCACATCAGTTCAGTGAAAAAGGCTCCGAGCTAGTCAACCTACAACAATATGTTACTAAAGTGAAGAAAGTTCCTGAGAAAGAGGCGATACTGATATTCTATGATATCGTCAGGGTTGTCGCTAACTTGCATAAGGTGAGTGGTATTGAAAAGAAAATTAAAATATTTATTTACACAACATGATGCAATAACCATCCCTAATTCTTGAATCTATAAAAGGCCGGTATTGCCTTTGGAACTTTTTTCGTGTTTGTGACGACAGTTAGGTTATTTACCAGTGGGTACGTTTGTCGACGTATTCAATAAAAAATATAACAAAATAATCAAGGTCACCTAATTTTTTTTTAATTGACTCATGAGCCATGCTTATGCACGAAGACAAGCTATTGCCTGTTCGATTCAAGTTTGAAACAAGTCTTTTTTCGTGATAGTGGCATGACAAGATTGCACGAATTGCCTGCATTGAATAATTCTTTGCGAGATCTACGAATTGTTTCTTTATGTCTCCCACCCATCAGAATAATAGTGAGGGCTATACTTAAAACTCAAGAAAAGTCAATTACGGAAATTTACATAGACAAGGAATATGAAATAAAATTTCGTAAAGTTTACCCTTTTTTTTGTGAGGGGAAAATCATCAACTTCTTCTCCCGCCCAGGGTCGGCGGGAGGGAGTGTCAGACTCTTACCGACTAAAAACCCCCCGCTCCTTCTCCTGCTTTGGGGTGAGGTCGCGGTGCCTCATTGCGCTTACCCCGCGACCCCGGCTGAACATAAGCCCTATAGGGCCCCGTCTGTGGTGGTCTATTAGCTCTTTGAGACGCGCGCCGAACGCTACGCGCCTTACGCTCGGGTCTGGTTCTGGTCGGGCTTACTCGCCGTCCGCAGATCCGTGCTTACGGTGGCCGGAGATCGTCTCTCGAAGATGGCTTACCCTAAGGGTGATATTATGATTAGGTTATAAAAATCAAAATACTTTATAAATCAAGATGAAGATACCCTTTAATCCATAGTTAACTTAAGCTCCATAGTGTTTTATTTATTTTACAGAGGAACATAGTACATCGTGATTTAAAATTGGGCAATATAGTGTTGAATCAGCGGACAGGACGTATCACCATCACCAACTTTTGCCTCGGTACACATCTAGGCAGTGACCGGGATCTCTTGAAGGACCAACGAGGTATTTACAAAGATAACCCTTATTATATTAAATACTCTATTATTAAGATACTCCTTATTATATTACTGTGGTCCCATGGGCTCCGTACGCCACCTTAATCGCAATTTGTGACTATGGGCCCTGCCGTGACTTGAAACTCGTCGAGGTACCTTATCTAACAGTTATGTAAGTGAACTGTACAATATGAGAACACGTGAGTCATAATTCAAAAATGCTGTATTTAGTTTTTAAAACAACAATCCTTGACTTGATAATAACGACCTTGGCAGACAAAATCGAGCTTAGTGCAATTTTCTTCATAGATATTACTTTACTTATCTAATCATTAATTAAATAAGCCTGCTCTGCCGTAGTAGTGTAATTATTACGATTAATCATTATAATAAAACAAACTTTTATTTATAAGAATCGATATTTTATTTTTATATTATACTAGCGGCCCGCCCCCGCTTCGCATGGGTGCAACTATCTCGCTATCAAAGGGTCACTTTTCCTAATGTTCCCCTCTACTTTTCTTATATTTTCTTTCATAAGAACCTTCTCCTGACAATAACAAACACAACAAAACAAGATTTAGCAAAATTGGTCCAGGCGTTGTTGAGTTATGCGCTTACCAACACATTTTGCGATCCATTTTTATATACAGGGTGTAAGGGACAGCCTTCCGCAAACTGATAGGGTGGATTCAGTATATCGTCTTAAGTTGACCGGTACATGAAATTATTTCAGGAACGTTATGGGAATCCAATTAAACCGATTTGTTTCATTACCTTACACGCAATGTATCGCTACCACCGCAAACGCACGCAGCGAACGGCAGCGCTTTTAGTATTATTACTTTACACTATGGGCAGCGCCGCGACCTTACCTTTCGGACAAACGGTCGCGCTCGCGCCACGTTTTAATAACAATAAACTATTATTTACAAGATAGCCGCATTACTTACAAAAGACAATGTAATAATCGCGCTCGCGCCACGTTTTAATAACAATAAATTATTATTTAAAAGATAGCCGCATTACTAACAAAAGAAAATCTAACAATCATAACATGGTAACTGATAAATGATAAAAAAAGAAAAATGCGTAGGTACCTTAGAATCGCTCCGGTTTCCGGCTCTGGAAAGCATTTGTGATGCGGTCTCGCATTTCGTACTCACTTGCACACGCACTCACAAACACTTTTTCTTTTACGTACAAAAAGGGGTCCAAATGGGTTACGTCTGGGGATCGTGCTGGCCACTGTTGCGGTCCAAACCTACCTAAACTACGTTTAAATAGGAAAGCACTGGTAAGTGGTAGCGTCTCGTTACGTTAGCGAACCAATTCCAAAATCCACGTAGGTATTGGTCTTCCGGCGCCTTTTTGTCTGGGAACAATGGGCTGTTTTTCTAGCAAGCGTTGATAGTCACCAGTAATTACCATGGAGTCTAATGGATGCCGATGGTCAGGACACCTACACTACTACAACACATTATCATCTCCCCATAATCACGCGCGCTAAACGTACCTAGGTAGTAATTTCGCACAATTTCTACAACAAAACTTCACTACACTTCACACACTACATAACTAATAAAACTTAACAACACTACTTATAATAAAACTTTTAAGCCGAATGCGCGAGCGATCCGTACCAACACACGCTCGCGGAACATAAACAGTAACATCGCAGCAAGGCACAATGGCTGTGACAATGGCGACTGCATGTGATGAGACACACACAAACATAAATCTGTTGTTGCCAATTACACGAAAATTAGGTACAAAATTTCGGGGTAAAAAATAAAAAAATATGCATGGTCGTAATTAATCATTCTGTTATTTTTTGTAGAGAAATGAATTGATTAAATCAATTTAATTCTAATTTCATTGTTTAGTTAATTTAGAATAATAAAAGTGCAGTGTGATAGAAAGCTGTGCTTCCATTCCAGGGAGATTGTGTTTAATTTCTGGCTCGACTATCAATTCATGTCTATTGTGAAGCCATGTAAATCTGTAAGTAGTTTAAAAACTAGCCAGTAATCGCTTAAAAAGAACAATCAATTAATAAATTAGGTAGTATTTGTAAATGCTTTAAAATTAAAACTAGACTAATCTTTATTTATTTTTTATTCAATTTATGTGCGCGACAAGATGTTCAATGTGATTATGAATGCAAAGGAATTCTCAAGTTTTAGATAAATTTCGATAGTTCTAACATTTTCGTTTACAAAGGTAGAAAGGTAGAAGAGGTAACAAAAGTTAAAAGTTGGCAACACTGGTTCAATCGACAGAAAGGGACGCAGCTATTCTGTACGTTGGACGGGATCGTAGGTATACCTACACGCGGCGATCGGCGCGGTGGGGCGCCGAGCCGCTGCGCCGTGACCGCGGTGCGGTGAGTTCAAACGACTCGCGCTAGGTAGAAATTGAACAGCTGATTTCATGCGTAGTTCTTTAGAGAATTCACACAACCATTGCGTATTTTTTTGTTTTAGCTGTGTTATTTACATTAATGTTATTCTTCATGCATAGAATGTAATTATACATTGAAATAGAGGTGTAGGAAGTGAAAAAACGAAAAAAAAATTGAAAATTTTCCTGAAAGAATTTTCACTGGAATATGATTCAGAATAAGGAGCTGAATGCACCCTGTTAATTTGTGGAGGGCTGTCCCTTACACCCTGTATAAAGATTACTATATTATATTTATAAGAATTGATTCACTTACCGACATACTGATAGACAATAGGGTAGTTTCCGACTAGTCAAATTCAATTTATCAAAAAGCATATTATGTCTTAAAAAAATTGCTAGTATAATAAAATTATAAAATGAAGTCAGCCGAAAAATCAATGAAATAGGTACATACATTATGTTAAAACATTGTATTTTTTTTAATTAAACAATTCAATTCAATATTGACAATTGAAAACGAGCTGTTATAATTTGATGGCTTTGATAATAGGCGTAAGAAAAATTATGTATTTCAAAACGCACTCACGCCACGGCACAGGCATGACTTCTGTTTCAGGGCCAAGTTCTGTGAGATATTTTTTTTTAAAGAATAAACTAAGGATACAACCCAATACAATATTTACCATTGAAAACGAGATGTAATTATTTCACTTAGATAAGAGGTGTAAGAGAAATCTCACCAAAAACATTAAATGTAAAAAGAGCCAAGTCTCTCCGCGCAAAGTTTTGAGATCCTATTCGTTGTTTGCGCGATGACAGCGCCCCTAGTGGCCGCAACTATTCAGGACTTGTCATTTGTCAAATCATGTCAACTAGTTGATAAGATATTTTTGTGATATTTATTATCGACTAGTTTTTCAACAAAATTGAAAAAAATAAGTATGTATATAAAAAAGTGAGTGTGTATATTATACCTAGCGATTTTCTTCCTCGTGACAAATATGGATATTATAATGCGTACGGGATTTGAATTTTAATTCTCTTCACAGCAGCTATCCATTTTTATCTTTGCTGTAATGTCCACTTTGATGTTGGAAACGAATAAAACTTGCACGAACTGTGTGTACGACTACTATGACCCATATCACAATTTTTTACGTTTTGACTTAAAATTATCAAGGAAGTCATAAAATTAAAGCAATTTGACACATGCCAGTCCAGAATTAATTCACATTTATGCCACGTCGTGCGCTACGATCGATTTGCCGTTCCCCACCACCCACTTCGCACATAGCGAATAGAAGCCAAGTCCTGTTCAATTTAATTTGTAATAATAAATCAATATTTTATAACTAAGTTTTGTTTACGTTACAATAACAGTGACTTGACCGTGAGTAGAATAAGATACGAATATAAAACTGCATATAAAAATAATTTAATTACAGGTTCTCCTGCTTACATATCACCCGATGTTTTACTATGTAAGCCGTACTTAGGCAAGCCTTCGGACATGTGGGCGTTAGGTGTCGTTCTATATACGATGCTCTACGGCCAGTTCCCGTTCTGCGATACTAGTCTAGCTCAATTATTTAGCAGGATACAAGCTGCCAATTATAATATACCTCCGTAAGTATTTTTTGTTTACTACTATAGTAGCGGCCCCTGTTTCGCATGGGGTCTTACTATCTCACTAGCGGTGAATGACGAAAGGGTCGCTTTTGCTCCATTTTCTCTTTTATTTTTCATCTTCAAGTGAGAACTTTTTTGTGATAAACAAACATAGCAAAAAAAGAAAATAAGCGAAATCCATTCAGCTATTCTCGAGATTTGAGCTTACCAATACATTAGCGATTAATTTGATTGTTATTGTTTTCGGTTGTGTATTTTTTCAATTTTAAAAGGTGTTTTTTTTGTCAGCTCTTAAAGCTATTTCGGATTTAATTATTATTTACTAAACGAAATAACTGCATTAATTGATTTTTTAAATATTAAACATAAAAAAGGCATTTAAAATATTCTTTCTATTATTACTTTAATACTACTTAAACAACCCATCGACCAATATGGAAATTATTGAGTCAGATCAATATAAGATATTATCTATACATATATGTTCATCTAATTATTTAAAAGACTTCCGTTCTCTAGAAGAACGTTCTCGGTTCTCGTTTTCTGCAGCATTCGGTTGTAGACATCATTACCGCAATAATTCCACAATGATCTCTTCAAGTGATTCTGATTAGATAAAAGTTTACGAACAAAATGTGTAGCAAAAGTGTGCACTATTAATTAAATAGTAAGGTTGACTTTTATATATATGTTTTCAGAGACGGGAATACGGTACAGGTATCAGACAACACGATTTTCCTAATACAACGGTTGCTGGTCAAAGATCCGAAGCATAGATTGATAGCTGATGAGGTGAGATGATTATCTATACTAATACATATTATAAAGAGGTAAAATTTGTTAGTTTGTAAGTTTGTATGTAGGGGGTAATCTTTGAAACCGCTGGTCGGATTGCCAAAATTCTTTTACTGATATATAGCTACAATTTTCCTGAGTGCTATAAGGCTATAAAAATCAAGCTACGATCAAATAGAGCTGAGCAGCGGGTGAAACCGCGCGAGAGTAGCTAGTTTTAAATATATTAAGTTAAGTATTATTAAGTTAAGCTTTGGCACGAATGGGCCGGCTCGACCGGAGGACCAGTATGGTATCACCATGTCCTCGCAGAAAATCAAAGTGACACAACTCTTACGTTGTGATTTGCAGTGTGAGTGAGGTTATCCAATCCTTGACACTCCTCATCCTGTCTTATCTCCAATCTCCAAATCCTTAACAACCCACTAAAGGTCGGCAACGCAATTGTAGCTCCTTTGATGCCGCGGGTCTCCATGAGTGGTGCTTATTGCTTACCATCAGGTGAACAGTCTGCTCGTTTGCCTTCTTATCCAATAATAAAAACCAAACCTTACAAAAACATCCCGTGCCATAAAGTAATTATTGTTTTTTAACACTTTTGAGCTTTTTGTAACTATCTACAACTAGATGGCGCTCAACTAAAATTTTAATTTTTAGGTATTAGACCAACTTTCAAGTATAATAGCAAGTTACGTGATCGTTCCAAATCCACCAGAAGATTTGCAAGTCGTTCCGGATGTACCACTAGAAGAGGACAACAAAGCAAAGTCTCCTACAGGGGTGCAATCTTCTACCGAAGTCGATAGGAAGCCATTCTTGACTATACCTGAGAGTAATGGAGAACGGACGCCTAATGCTTCGGTGAGTGTTGTTTTAAACAAACACTATTTTCATTGGTCTAGTTGTAGAAAATCTATTCCATGCAAATAATAAAAGGGTTCAAGAAGAATATTATTATAATTTTGAAATAGTTATAAATACTTTAAAGATACTATATATTTTGTACTTCTATCAAAACTATGTACGTGACGAGACGTGGTACGGTGGTGCTATATATTCTCATTTTCAACGTCGATAAAATGAGTTAACAATTATTTACAGGAGGAACTCGGAGTATTCTGCGTACCGTTACCAGACTTCATAGCAGTAAACTTCTCGAATTCCACCCGAGTAAACCAAAATAGCCTCATACTTCAACCGACGAGTGCACCGGTCGATCCATCCGCCCTCGCAGCACTGAACCAACCACGAAACATTACCGTCCAACGAATCGGTAGGGACGCCAGACCTCTCCTACCAGCCGAAATAGCCAGGTACCAACACATGTTTGCCTCCAATCCTACACAAAGACAGGAACCACCGCGTAGACCAGACGCTGCAAACTTTGTACCAGATTCAAGGCAGGAAAGACCTACATCTAGACTCCAATCTCTCGCTCAACGCATTCCCAGGCTCATTCCTCCCATTGCAACCACCTCAGGACAGACATCAGCTGACTTTAGGGTCATACAATGGCCTGAGCCTCGTCCCAGAGGATGGGACAACGACTATATACTTCGTTTACCAGTTCTAGATCTTTCTAGAGTGAATAATAATAGAATAATGAATCCTGCACCTGTTCACACGGTTAATTCCGAAGCTGTCGTTAATAATCCTAGGCCTAATCCAATCGATCCATCTGACGCTGATTAAAAGAGTTGCCAAGTAAAAAATATGTGTTTTCTTACAAGGTGACGATTTTAGTAGATGCTATCTTTTAATGTGATAGTGAATTGATTTGTACCCTAATACTCGAATTGTATTCCTTATTCCACTATAAAATTAAATCGGTCTAGATAATGTTGTTATTATTTTCTTCATAAAAATCGACACTTCAGACAACTTACAGTCAGTAAGTTTGTCTTATACTTACCCGGTTTCTGAAAGGCTTGTCAACGGTAAAATTCACTAATCTCTTGTCAAGTCATCTGATTGGTTGTTGATAATTCAGTCAACCAATCAGATGACTTGACAAGAGATTAAATTGATTTTAACATTGATCGGCCTTTCGGAAACCGGGTGTTACTGTACAAAATTTTGTATGACTCTAATCGAGTCGCATTTCAGTATTAGGGCACAAATTGTTAGGTTCTGTATACTAAATTGGAGACAAAATTTGTTAAAATCTCTTTTTACAACGTGTGTTCTTGGAATTGCAATAAGAAGTGTTTTATCTGAAGCTATGATAGTTTTTAGGGACGAAAGTAGTATTTGATACTAAAATGGTAGTGAATATTAAAACTGGTAGTTTTTAAAAGTGATACTTGTAGATATAGTGTTTTTTACTGTCAGATGTGAGTGAGAGGAGAATAAGGAATAAGAGTAAAAGAGAAATTTGGGAACAAAGAATGAATAAGGATTAGGAAGTTGTTGGTATACGCGAGAGTGTCGATAGTCGTAATAAAAAGTTAGTGGAAATGACGTAAAGCCATCAGCCCTTACCCTGGTTGTGTCGGGGTGCCGTCCTATTCTATCAAGAGAGTGAGTGAACAGAGAGTACGTATACGCTATGATTTTTCTGTTGAAAGAACACCAGTAAAGTATAAAATAAGATTTTAGTCCAGTTAAGCAAACGTGTCCTCTAATCCGGTGTAACATAGTCTAAAATTCTGCAGCCTTCTGTTGGAATAGAAGGTAAACTCGAATCAATGCATAAACGCAAACGCAAACCTATGTAAAGGTCACACCAAGCCATTCGAAACGGACAGATTCTGTGATTGTTAAATAATAGAAGTACACTGATCACCCTGTTCGAAATCGATCAGGAGACATCATTATTAGAATTTTATTAAGAATGAAATCAAAAAACATTTATTCCAAACAAACCATATTAAGTTCTTTTGAAACGTTAAATAGAATGATAGTCAGTTAATCTGTTTGTCAGTAAAGGCGCTCGTTCCAAAGTGTAGATCTGAATGAAAGAACGATCAAGGAAAATCCCACTATAAATAAATGTCAGTTTAGTGTTTAGTGTCAGTTTGCTTTTACCCGATCGACACGTGAATGACGTTCGGCGCTGTGATTCGCCTGCTTTAAGTTTACTAACCAATCACAGGGCTGTGACGTAGTGACGTTCCGAGCAAAGTAAAAACAATTCACACTCAGCCATCTACTACATTTTGTCTTCAATTTAGTATATTATTAAAATTTATCGTAACTATATAACTAGGCTCCCAAATTTCCTTAAACGTCTGAATTAATGTAGTTATCGTATGTTTAATAGAAACAAATTGATTTCAAAGTGTGGAGGGAATTGTTTACAAGTATAAGTTTATTTTTTATTATTATAATCTTTTTAAGTCTGATATGTTTAAATAAGTACTGTTTTATATTTAAGTAATTTCTTTTAAATTTGTTTTTCTTCTGAATGTGTCTAGACAAGTGCTTATATGTTTTGGCGAATGCTCTTCTCAATCAAAGTCCTGATTAATGTTGGTTTCGCAAATATTTTTTGTACCTCTGCGGTGGTAAACACGATTTTGTTTCTTGATTGAAGCGTGAAGAAATTTAAATATTGAACTACTTGTTGCATAAGGAACATTTACAAAAAAGCTTTTGAATTTGTTTAGCAGCGGCGTAGCTATAAATTGGGGTCAATGTCAAAGCGTAACAAGAAAAAGTAAAGTAAAGAAAAAGTTTTCGCTTACCTTTTAGGTGACCCGACCACCACTTTGTTTTTATTATCCACGTCTGTTAGAAGGAGATAGAAAAAAGAGCTAATTCACCGGTTTACCGCCTTATAGTTACGTTACTGTTATCTAGACAACTGTTTTTAATTTTCCTTCGTTTTAATTGTTTCTGCCTTGTTCTAGATGTTCAACTCAAGAGAGTTGATGTGATTCATTTTGTTTTAATTCTTATACATATTCAAATTTGATAAATAATCGGATTTGAATAACCAATTGATACTTAGTAGGAATTTTGTAAAGGATCCCGTTTTCTTAAAGTAAAACGTTGTCAACTCTTACGTGCTGTGTTATTGATTGATGTATAATAATGCTAGTTTCACAATGGCCGATTAAGTTATTGTTAGTATAATTAACGGATCATTTCATGTACTATGTCTATCAATTAAGCTGTCAGACATTTCGGAACGTGTCCTAAGACAATCGATATATACTCGAGCGTAAGATTATGACTAACGAGGCACAGAGGCAGATCAACTGACTCTAATTTGTCAATTATTCTTCATAGATATCTAATCTTATAATTACACAATAAATTTGAAAATATTGGCATATTGGCGTGGGTTGACAAGTTGACAGAAGTCGGGATTCTAATTATTTAAACGCGTTTTTATTTTATGCAAGCAGTATCATTAAAATGTTCATCACTGTTAAGATTATTACTGACACTATCATTCGTACTTATTCAAATTTATCTTATTATGATTTTAAATAATTGGAAGTTGCTATACATAACAATGTATATCACTATCCTGTTTCTTCAACTCTTGTTCGTTTTGTGACGTCACAACTGTTTGCATAGTGAAAATGTAAAATAAACACATCATATTTTTATACATAAGCATTCGGGTACTCGATTTTACTTACTTTAAGTAGATATTTTATAACATCAAACAATGCAATTATTTTTTCTATTAAAAATAGTCTCAACCAATTTATTACTTAATTTTGATCGTCCATTTTAATTACTTTCTTATTATGTGATGTATAATTATTATTTTTGTAGTGTGAGTATATTGGAATTGTTAGAAAAGTGATTTAGGTGCCAACCTGTAGTTAGATTTTTAAATTGTAAATCGAAAAGGGCGTTTCCTATTGTAAATTTACGTGTATGACTTAATAAAAAACCGGCCAAGTGCGAGTCGGGCTCGCGCACAAAGGGTTCCGTAGCATCGTTTTCAGTGTAAGCACAATAACTTAACCAAAATTACAGTTAAATCAACCTATCTCAAAAACTATAAGAGATACTTTGATCAAACCAAAAATCGTTGAAAGAGTTAATTAGCATGCATCACCTCTATTTTTTTTAGAATTTTATACCCCGTAGTTATAAAAATAGAGGGGGGGGGACATACTTTTTACGACTTTGAGAGCTGATATCTCAAAAACCGTTCACTTTAAGAAAAATGTTTTTTAGAAAACTTTATATCATTTTAAAAGACCTTTCCATTGATACCCCACACGGGTATGTACATCGAAAAAAAAATTTTCATCCCTCAGTTACATGTATGGGGGGCCCCAACCCCAATTCTTTTTTTTACTATTTAGTGTCATAATTTTGTAGCGGTTCATACAACACATATTCCCATCAAATTTCATCACTGTAGTACTTATAGTTTCCGAGTAAATCGGCTGTGACAGACGGACAGACGGACAGACGGACAGACGGACAGACGGACATGACGAAACTATAAGGGTTCCGTTTTTGCCATTTTGGCTACGGAACCCTAAAAACGGACCTAAGTAAAAGTGTACATTTTATACTTCGAGAGACTTAATTTAATTTTCAAATTATTGGGATCAAAGTAGAAATACATGTAGTGTTTTTGTTTGTCTTGTTTTTTATAAAACTGTAGATAAAAAATTAATAAAACTGCCACTTAAATTAGCCGTATAATTAATTGTAAGAATTGCAAGGTTAGATGCCCGGTTGCAGATAGTTTAATAAATATGCTGATTTAATAATTATGAATGTATATTTTATATTTAAGTATTATTTTTTCTTCTGGCATACGTATTTTATTTCATATGAAATGCTGTCTATCTACGATACTTAATACATGTATTTTAACCTCATCTTTTTGTTAAATAATTGTAGTACCTAACAAATGTTTCTTAAGTATCTAGTATATTTAATCTATAACACATTTATGTTGTAGTAATATTTATATATTACATACTGCAATCGGGTAGACATGTGAATAGGCTTTAAATGTCGTCGCTCAATCTCAGTCTTTGATAAATTTTGTAACACGCCATCTTTCGACCGACACCGTAGTTGGTGTTTGATATTTCTGATAATAGATGTCGCTATATGTGTATGACAAATAATTTGTATTCTCTAGCGCATGTTTATGTAGAGTAGAAGTGTAATGAATCGGTATGATTTGAAGGTATTATAAGTAGAACAATTTTTGTTATTTGTTAGTTGCATCCTGACGGTATGTAAGCTAATAAAATGAATTTAAAAATGTATGTTTCTTTTATTATTATTGTATCCTTAATTGTTTTCCCTCAACCATTTGACCTTTATAAATCATGAAAAAATTGTTAAAATGGATAACAAATTCCAAGTTCTCTTTCAAGTGAATTTAGGTATAGTCGCTTGATGACTGTGGAATAATAAAAAAACATACCTGGCTGCATAATAGCCTCGGAACAAAGAATAAGTTATAATAAAAAGTACATTATGGTACGAGTCGAGTGTTACGTTGGCGCATTGAGGCGGTAATCATCAATAGTCACGTGTATCATACGACGATTTTCAACACACTTTTGAATAAAATAATCGAGACTTGGCTGATCCACTGCCGTGCCCCCAGGTACCTAGACAAAAGATTTTAATAATATTTTTTTTTATTTGAAAGAAGATACGTTCGGAATAATATATAAACAAAGTTCAAAATATGCATGCATATATGGTTAAGTTACAAAATTAGATCCGATTTTATTTTGTACAATATGTAAAAAATTGTTCAACCCATCGAGTCCAAAATCATTTTCCTAGGAAATATGTATGAAGAGGACCAAGGAAAGTTATTGTGAACTCGATGGGTTGAACAGTATTATTGAACGTATTTTCTAACGTTATGGTTCAAAAGTTAGAGTGGGAGTGGGAGGAGGAGTGCATTTTGTCCTTTATCAAAATGTGTCACACAGACACAGACACAGACAAACACAGACAAACACACACACACACACACACACACACACACACACACACACACACACACACACACACACAGACACACACACACACACACACACACACACACACACACACACACACATTGTGGTAAGAAAGTAGGATTGTCAGAGTGGAAGATAGTTAGTCGCCGGTTTGTGTCTATTTCATTTGCAAGAAATAAAGTTGTCTTTAATTCAAAGGCCTTCGTACGCCTGCTCGTACGCCTTCTGAACGTATTGTGGTCCCGTGATTGCTAAAGATATACATACAATAATATATCTTAGTAATATTCTATATATTGTAAATTAATTATCGGTTTTGTCCACTTAGTATCCCAATGTATTTATAATAGTTTTACTTTATTTAATATATCTCTTTTTCCTGCTTATATTCTTTTTCATGCTTATATTTTTCATTGGCTCAAAGATTGACTGGGAGAGAATGCCATATGGCGTTAACTCCCAATTGTACCAACTTTTATGTACATACATATATTATAGCCTAAATACATGAATACATATTAATGACCTGTTTTCATACTGAAAGATTTCAATTCATAAACTTAACAATTTATCCCAGCTTCCTAGAAAAACATTCTTCAGTAACTCAGACGAGACCTAACGTATTTTAATAACGTTATATTAATCTAAGTTTCTTTTCAAAGCGTTTCCAGTGAGACGTGGCATTAATATTAAAATTAGTTTTCATTTAAACTGGGTTTAAGACGCGAGCGTTAGTTTCGACGTTGAAATATTGCTAGTTTTCTGTTGTTACGGACTTACGGACGCGGATGTAAGAATTTTCATTTTTACGTTTGTTGAATGTTTAGGTTCTGACGTTCAATTTTGTCAGCTATATATTCTTTGCGCGGGATTAAATCGCGTTTGTTGTGTGTGAACATAGGTTTTTTTTTACATTAGTGGATAGCGCTACACCTAAACATTGTGACTTAAACAAATGTAAGTAAATACTTAATAAAAGTCTTGTGAAGATCGTTAATGCCTTTTCACATGTTCCAGTAGTCTGTAGGTACTAAAGGTTTCAGGCGTAATCGCCCAGGTACAATCTACTGAATATAAAATCGCTATATAATCTAGGCGCTAAGTGAAATCGACTCGTGTGAAAGCTAAACATAATACCGGCTATTCGGCAACCAAAACGTGTGCAAAGGCACTTAATGTGGAGATAGAAAATAATAACACTTTCTTATTTAATTTTGTTGATTAGTCGTAAACGCGATTACTCAGCTAGGAAAACCATGTAATAGTCTGACAAACGTGCAGACTACCTGATGGTAAGCATTCGGCGCCGCCCTTGGGCACTTGCAAAACCAGAGGAGTTACGAGTGCATCGCCAGCCTTTTAGGAATAAGAGTTTAGGATTGGGCTTCCAATAATCTCACTTGGACGGCGAAACACAACGCTAAGGTTGCTTCACGAATATTTTCTGTGAAGCCATTGTATTAGGTACTCCAGTCGAGCCTACTCATTCGTGCCCAAGTCGAAGCTTGACTCTCCAACTGTTTCAGTGTAGTGGTATTATTTGTACCTCTATAGATTATATTATTTTAGAAATAAAGAGGCAAAGTCTTTAAGTACATTCAGTAAACGTTCACGGCCTTATTACAAAACAAGGTTTTACTTTAGTCTAGGACTAAACCATAGAGCCAATTTTAGTAAATGAAAATAAGATTCTAAATTCAAAACCCGACTCAATGGTTTGAACCTGGTCAGTGTGTAAGTATCTAAGAGACAAAACCTCTTTATCTAATACGTGGGTACTAAACCAGAATAAATATTCAACACAGACAATTTTCCATAAACGTTCACAGACAATTAATCACATATTCAATATTTAAAAGCTGTTTAACGGGTCCCGTACTAAAATGACAATAAAAACTCGATTAAAGTATTTTAGATCGTAAAATTTAAAATTTTCCCGAACATTACGACTATACCTTTCTGTTCTATTGGAGTTTATGGTCGCCCCGTGTGGGGCATAAAGTATTGAGTCTTTTTGTTTATTTTTATAGCTGATGACGTCACTTGGTTTGAGTAAGTAGAGTTTGGCACTGAACTAAGGTGCTTGTGTTTAATTTTTTCATGTGTAATGTACCTATTATGTCAATTTTTAAAAATAATTTACGTTTCTTCCTATTTGCATGTTTGACAGACCACAAGGTAACAATGATTTCCTGCTGGGGTTGGTAGTATAAGACCCATTATGAACCGCCATCCGGCTCAAAGCAGAAGAAAGAACATGGTGGTTTTTAGTCAGTAAGAGTCTGACACTCCCTCTCGCCCCACACAGGCAATAGTACTTTGTAATTTAATTGAAATGTAATTATATATTCAATCTATTAAGATTTTCAAACGATTGCATAGGTACTGCTTTTTAAACTGCAATCTGTAACCCGCCAGGACCTTGGAAGTTTTTAAAAACTTTTCAGTCCATAGTTTTCGTGGTCCAAATATGACAAAGCCTGTTCTATATAAAAAAACGACAC